GGAATGTCGAGGTCCAGCTTGACCTTCTCTGGAACCGAAGCCGGTAGGAAAAGCAGCGGTTGGCGACCAGACCAGTCTTGAGATACTTCCGGGTCACGACAATTTTGTTGGCGTCTAGCGAGACCCAAACCTGGGTCGTGATGGTTCAGCTTTTATTCTGAAAGGAACCGTTGCAGCAGGTGGAACAGCAACAGATTTTATCCAGCTTGTTGTTGGTTCTTTTGGCTCAAGAGGAAAGTTACGGATTGGCCACTCCGACAACTTCTCTAGAACGCTTTGAACTGGCATTAAAGATGACGTGGGCATAGTTTTATACTTCGGATGTTTTGGTTTATGGTCGAATGAAAAGATGACAGATTCACCAAACACCACCAAAACCACGCCGCCGTCAGATCTGTCAGATTCTGATTGGAGTGAAAGCCATGTGTCATGTCTTTTAACGCTACGTGAGATCAGTCCTAGTGGAACATTTAAAGTCATATTACTTATTATATTCTATAGGATTATAATGAAGTAATTAATACTTTGATTTCACAGATTGGTCACATCTTATTTATTGACTAACATTTTGCTGGATTAGCTTTTTAAAATAGAGTTCTTTGATAAATTAAAAAGAGAGAGTCCATTCTTCATTTTTCTGTTGAGCTGGAAAGAAGCTGTTTATAACAAATGCATGAGACCTTGAGACCGTATCTCATGCAGACTGGTTCTGTGTCAGAGGAGAGGGAAACAGTCATTTCATTCCGTTACAGGAGATAGCTGCTAAATTTTAATGCTAACATTTTGTTGTGTTTAGCTTTTTACAGGAATAAAAATTAGCAAACATGTTAAATTACTTCCTCACCTCATTTGTCATGACCACCACAGTGGTATGGTTGAATATTGCTTCATTAATAAAGTTAAAAAAATAAATATTTAGAATCACATCTAAATATGAAGTTAAGTTTTAAGGTTTAGGATCAAATATAAGTAAATTAAAGTTGCATCTAAATGTCCAAATGTTAACATATATTTGAGGATTTAGAACTAAACTTTGAACTTAAAAACTTCAATGCGACTTCACTTTTACCCTGATCTTCATTTGCCTCTTAGCTTCATATTTAGTTTCAAACCACCTTATGTTTCCTTACAGTTTTAAACACTTACATGTATTTTAACATACTTAAATTTGATTCAAAACATCTTTGTTAAAAAGTTTTTATTTAGATTTGAATCTAAATATTTTAAGCTAAATGTGGCCCAGTATATCTGTTCATTTTTAGTGCCTTACTTTGCAGTCGGCGCCCCATACGAAGCTCCTTTCTTCCATCGAGCTGCTTTAGACGGAAAATCACTGAGTTTATGACAGCTGCTGTGGTTAAATATTAATTTGTGAGTGTGTGCTTGTGAGCATATGAGATTAATGGATGCATCACCCTGTTGGACATTTTTAACACCTGTTTGTGACGGCTGCTACTATGTCAAACCTCCCACTCTGACCATGCATATTCAACACCTCTCACCTTTTTCCGGTTTTCATTCTGCGTCTTTCAGGTGTTTGTGTTAAATGATGCACGCAGGTTAGTGATCAATAGGAATCTGTGTGCCCTGGTTTCCCTCTGCTCTTTGAGTTATTTTATAAACGACACCGCTGCAGCTTCGTCCAGCGACTCTGAGACAAGACTGTGTGTCAAACTTGTGATCGGTGCTAAACGATTCATACGTGTCCAGAGGAAGAGCAGTCAATGAAACAAAATGGATCCCTTTGCTCAGTCGTTGCTGGCAATTTGGCTGAGGTTACCTTGGCAACACAAACTTGGTTTCTCACTGAGAGCAAGAAGAGATGGTTGCTGGTATAACGCAACCACGACAGCACTCATATCCAACAGCAACAGCCTTGAATTTGTTTTCCCATCAGCTTTATCATCCCGGTCAGTGGGCGGGATGACAGCCGTGCATGCTGGCATGTTCATCTCACATGAGCTCAAACTATCACGGAAATATTTTCTTTTCAACTTTTGCACAGTAATCGTTTTAATCTCATCATCAGATCACAGTTTGTTTATATAACAATAATAGTTTTCTCTGCGTGTTCCTGCATTCACAGAGAAAAGCGACCTGGATGCCGTTGTTGGACAGGTTCACTGGTTCAGAAACATTTTTATGCTCATGCGAGGAGACACAGAGGTACACCAGCGTTACAGCATCTTTTGTTTTGTGCACCAGACTAACAAAATGTCAAATGCACAAAAAAGCAAAGCAAATCATCACAAATGATTTCCAGTCTGGTGTGTGCAAACAAATGAGTAATGTGAGCTATACCATTAAGAATAAATGTTTGAATGCATCTGTTGCTTTTTTTTCCCTACACTATCAGAACAAACGTGCTCTTTACTTGGTCAGCCATGGATGACCTTTATGGATGCCTTTCAGCTCCAGTTCTCCAGTCAGCCTCCATTTCAAACAAGCCACTGCTTATCAGTCACCTATTACTTCTCGCACCGGCTCCTTCAGCAAACACAGGCACAGGCATTCGCCACAAATATGCACACTAACAGAAACACTGGCATCCAACATTTCTGCTTCATATTTTAAGCCACAAACAAAGTTGCTGTGATTCAATTAGTGATTCAGCATCGCACGACCCTTATGTCCTAAATTCCTTGTGAAATTTGAGATCATTTTAAAAATGCAGCCAAATGAAATTGGATTCATTAAAAAATGACAATGATGACTTTCTCTGGAGTTGGATGCATGCATCATGGTGTCTTTGTGTGGGTGTTTATTTCCCCCGGGCCAGCTGGGGTTAATGTGATTGTGTTTAATGCGTTTCTTACATACCCCTGAGCAAACACATCCACTGTGTGACTGACTTGGTTGTTTGGCACAATAAATAATGCAAATCGCATTTACCTGCCACTGAAAACAGGGCCAATGGGAATTAATGTCAAGCTTCCTTTTTTTATGCCTAAAACGTAATCCCTGTCCACCTTTCTTGCTCTTAAGTAGAGCTGCTCAAATGTTTAACTTAAAGAGACAATGTGTAGTTTTTACCATTCATTTCTGTCAAAATGTTGTTGAAAATTAATGAAATGATGCCCAGTGGTTGAGAAATATTGACAACTTTGTATTATTTAACCATAAATATCAGGTCTAAAATACACGGGAGCAGGTCTAAGTCTCTGGGCGACGCCATATTAGATGCCATGTTTCCTTCTACGGGAGCCCATGAAGACAAAATACATTTGCTGATTTGTAACAAACGGTTACAAAACTTTCATCATTCTTAAAAGTTGTTGTTTGACACATTTACCTCTTCGCTTGTTGCCAGTGATGAAAGGCAGTCTGATGTGCTCGTTATTTTTGCTAAAGTTTGCACTCCCCGCAGCTTTTTGACTCTAATGGTGTCCGTTGATAAGGTCTTACTCCAACACAAAAATATTGCTTGCTTGCAACAATTTAGGTATCTACTGCCCCCTATTGCCAGAAAAAATACACACTGTCACTTTAATTATCACAAAACACCAAATCACTTAAAACTCTACAAATTAAAAAAAATTGCAATCTTCTTTTCTTTAATTGATTTATGCCTTCTGATTGATTTAACGTCTGTGTCATTGTGTTTTAAAAAATGCAAGAATAACACACCAGCAGCATGTGGATCACACACACTGTAGCAGCTGTTCTCTGTTTTACCCAACACTCTGCAGCACTGTCTGTCACCGTAAATGATATTATATGTGAACTTGGCTGATGTCCTTTATGCAAAGCAAGGCTGCTTTGTGTGCACATTTCATACACAGAGGCGAATCGATGTGCTTTCCATTAGCGAGAATAGCTGAAACATTAAAGTCAAAGTGACAGCACGATTAAAATATGCAAATAAATTTAGATCAAATTTAAAACCTAAATTCTTTTCAGATTTAAGAGTCGGAAAAAAGACCAAGTTAAAGGGTGAGCTGTTACAATGCAGAATGTGGGCGACGGTGGCACAGGAGTTAAGTGCTCGCCCCATAATCGGAGTGGTTGCAGGTTCGAGTCCCGCTCAGTCTGTCGCTGTCGTTGTGTCCTTGGGCAAGACACTTAACCCACGTTGCCTGCTGGTGGTGGTCGAAGGGACCGGTGGTGCCAGTGCTCGGCAGCCTCACCTCTGTCAGTGCGCCCCAGGGCAGCTGTGGCTACATCGTAGCTCATCCCCACCTGTGTATGAATGTGTGTGAATGGGTGAATGACTGATTGTGTTGTAAAGCGCCTTGGGGGGTTCCAGGACTCTAGAAGGCGCTATATCAAATACAGGCCATTTACCATTTACCATAGAAGGTGCAGCATAAAAAACAGTTGTTCAAAGGCTGATGAATACATGAAGGTTTTCAGTTTTGATTTAGTAAATGCTGTCTCCTAAAAGTGTTAACAGAATCTAAATCTGCTACAACAACTTTATGATTTCAAGAAAAGAAAATATATTGATGATCAAGTTTAACATGTCAGCAGGTTTTCATTTAAAATGAATACGTTTATAAGAAACTGGTAAAGAGATTACAGGTTTTAACCTTCGATACGGTCATTTTAATGATCTTTACTGCTGAGAAATACAACATTTAGCATTAAAATTAGGTAGAAAATGTCGAGATATCGGTCACAAAAATTGGTCTATAAGAATCGGCAGTACATATCGGCCATCGGTTGACCGTGTCTCCTACATATCAGCATTGTGTCAACATTAAAGAAACCAATATTGTTCGACCTCTAGTTGGTAGGTTTTCATTTAAAATGCATAAGTTAATAGCGTGGACAACAAAGTTTTAACCTTCGATACGGCCATTTTAAGGATCTGTACTGCTGAGAAATACGACATTTAGCATCTCAGAGTAACCAGGATTTCAACATTCATCAACACAATATAGATTTATTTTCAGTTCAAAGACACTTTATTAATCCCAGAGGGAAATGAAGCAGCCCCACCCACAGTTCCTCTCAAATATATGAAAGGCCTAACATGAGAACTTCTGTGTTTCCTTCAGGTGGAGTGGGGATTGCTGCCACTCAGCTGTGCAAGACGGTGAAAGACGTGACGGTGTTTGGCACCGCGTCAGCCAGCAAACATGAGACCATCACTCAGGGAGGAGTCACGCATGCCATCGACTACCGCACCAAGGACTACGTCGAGGAAGTCCGCAAGATAAGCCCGAAAGGTTTGAAAGCTTTCAGTGGGAAAGCATCTTGCATTTGGCTTTTGTTTGCACAAGAACACGATTAAATAAATCACACGCGTGTCGGTTCTGCATGGTTTAGATCAACAGATCCTCGTTGGACAGAAACAAAACTACCACAGATCAGTGCTGAATTCAGGCGATATGTTTTCTTACAGATTGTCTCAGCAGAGCTGGCTGACGTTTGCACCAGACCAGCAGTGCATAGGAATCCTTTTCCCACCAAGCGAACGTCCTTTCTCCAAACAGTAGCAACAAAGTTTCGTGTTGCTGGATTTGCTGCTGATAATTCACAAAAACGATTCGCTTCTTTAGTGAATGAAACAAAGTCCGGTTCCTGCTGTGCTTGTTAACCTTTGCCATGTTTCTGTTTATGATCCCAGAGATGTGTTTCATAGCGTTCCTCGCACCCAAAAAATCTGTTCTCTGTGGCGTGAAGTGAGACAGACACGACTGAGACTGAGGCGTCAACTGTGAGAACTGACTCTTCACACAGAGTGTATCTAATTAGAGGCTCGGATCAATGTACAGCTCCGATCGCTACCTATCCCTCCATCTTTGGCTCTGTCAGGTCGTGTTCTCTGGTCCAGTCAGAATCCAGCTGTGAGCCCCTTATGATCAATAGGACCCGGGTTTAACACAGCAGTGAGTGCCAGCCCAGTTTAAGGAGTTCCCTCTGGCACAAAGGTGCATCATTAAGGCTGAACCTACAGGGCTGGATGGTGTTGAGCCACAAAAGGAAACCTTTATTGACAAGTTGTCGGTTTTACCATCATTTCTGAGACTAGATGATGGAAATAAGGAGACATTTTAATCCCTCTTGTCTCATAGGGATGAAAAAAGACGATACAGGAAGAGGTCGTGTGTTTGGCTTCTCCTGTCCGCCTTTACGGGTTCAACTTTGTGTTAATAAGGTGCAGTTTGGCTCTGCTCACTGCTTTTAGTGAACTCTGGCGTGCAAAGTGGCCCTCTGAGGAGATTTGGCAGGCTGATCCTCCTGAATTTGCACCACTGATAACTCCCTCCACCTTCTTTTTCTGTTCCAGGCTTAGACATCATCCTGGACCCTCTCGGAGGATCAGACACCCATAAGGCCTACAATCTGCTGAAGCCTATGGGAAAACTCATTACCTATGGTGAGTAAACACAAATGCATCAGAAAAGATCATCAGCTGCTCTTATTTGATAGCAAAGCTTGGACTTAATGTCAGAGGCACTAAGGTGCTCCGCTTTCGGCGAGAGATGCCCGCAACTGGAATTTCTTCCTGGAACACACGAGTTACATCTTGAGATTAACAGATAAAATTCTTTAAATTCTTGTCACTCTTGCAATAATTTGAAAATATACTGCAAAGGATTACATTTTGAATTATTTATTAGGAGCTGAAGAAACACTTTTAGCTCCTTTATAAAAAAAACAATCTTTGAGATGGTTGGAAATGGACAGAAGCCAGTTTATGCAACATTTGTGGGTTTCGCAGCGGCAGAGTAAAGCTGCTTTCTGGTGGGTACACTGGCCTCTCAGTGTGCTGTGTGTCATCCGTGGGAAGCCCGCTACGCTCTCTCTGTTACAATACACGTCTGAATTTGTGGAGTGGGTGGGGTCGGCATCCGTGAAGAACAGGGCCTTGCCTTTGCGTGTCTCTCAGAAACCTACAACCCAGCATGGTGCCCTCCACCCTCACCCATTCAACCTCTATGGTCGATCTGGGTAGCTGCTTCTCTCCCAGCTTATCAGAAGTAGGCATGGTGGAACAATGAGGAGCTCTATCCACACGAAACCTGGAATGTGTGTGAATGTAGCCGCCTGGGTCACTCATTTTTCTCAGAGCACGCTTTGTGTCCCCCTTTTCCCCCCAAGAAAGGAGGAGACGGAGGGCGCAGACGGCTAAGTGAACACGTAAGGGGGAGGGGCTGCAAGTGTGTGTGGTGGCAGTGACAGCTGACGTGCTAAAGAGGGTTATAGGGTGGAATAGGAAGTGAGAGAGTGTGAAACTGGAGTGAGACAGCAAGCAGAAGAGCTTCACACCAAATATTATCAAGTCGCCCTAAAACATAAAATTGTTAATGTTTGTAAATAAATGCAAATGTCTTGTAAATGATGTTTACCAGTAGTAACTGGCCAAAAAACGGTGTCGTCTTCAAACCAACTGAGACCGACTCCCTTCCCATCAGGTGCAGCCAACATGCTGGCAGGTCAGAGGAAGAATCTCATTGCCGTGGCCAAGAACTGGTACCACCAGTTCTCCATCCACACACTCAGCCTGATCCAGGGGAACAAGTCAGTGTGTGGCTTCCACCTAGGCTACTTGGACGGGGAGACGGAGCTCATCGCCCAGGTCATGAACACCATCCTGGAACTGCACCAGCAGGGCAAAATCAAGCCCCACATTGACTCCACCTGGCATCTTGAGCAGGTTTGTGTTTGCTTCGTCTGGATTTTTCATGCCTCCAGCTTAGGTGGAGCCACAAGGATGTGATGTTTGCTGGTGTTTATAAATGGTTGCAAAAGTGTGAAATCAATCAATCAATTAAGTTAATCAATTTCCCTCTGGGATTAATAAAGCATTTTTGAATTGAATTGAATTGAATTGAAATGTGTTTAATAATTAAAGATCTGTTGTCAAGAATGTTCAAAGTGGAACTTGCTGATCTTCAGCTTGCCGTTGTCCCTCTCTGCTGTGCTTCATCTCTGCCTTTTTAGGCGGTCTCTCGTTGGGCTTGACTGCTGGAAATGCAAAACTGCTTTAAAGTACGCACGTTTTCATCTGGAATCACACTGGTTCAATCACACACTGGTACAATGGTTTTGTAGCCCGACAAGCCATCCTATATATGTAGATATATAGCCTAGCTACGACCCATAGAGAGACATCAGCTGTAGGGGTGGAACTACGGTTGTTTTACAGACTGTCTTCGCACGCGTTTGGACACCGCTAGAACCAATTAGTACAATGAACAATGTGACATAAAGTGGGCACGGAAAGTATTCAGACCCCCAGCAATGTTTCACTCTGTTATATTGAAGCCATTTGCTAAAATCAATGAAATTCATTTCTTCCTCATTAATGTACACATTATTGACAGAAAACACAGAATTTTAGAAATTTATGCAGATTTATTGCAAAAGAAAAACTGAAATATCACATGGTCCTAAATATTTCGACCCTTTGCTCAGTATTTAGTAGAAGAACTCTTGAGCTAATGCAGGCATGAGTCTTCTTTGTAAAGATTTGAGGATCCTTTGTTATTCCTCCCCATGTTGGAAGGTAAACCTGCGGCCCAGTCTGAGGTCCTGAGCGCTCTGGAGAAGGTTCTGGTCCAGGATATTCCTGTACTTGGCCACATTCATCGTTCCCTAGATTGCGACCAGTCGTCCTGTTCCTGCAGCTGAAAAACACCCCCACAGCATGAGGCTGCCGCCGCCATGCTTCACTGTGGGGACTGTGCTGGACACGTGATGAGCAGTGGCTGGTTTTCTCCACGCATACCTCTTAGAATTAAGGCCAAAAAGTTCTACGTTGGTCTCATCAGATGAGAGAATCTTTTTCTCACCATCTCTGGGTCCTTGTAGCAAACTCCATGCAGGCTTTTATGTGTCTTGCACTGAGGAGAGGCTTCCGACGGGCCATAAAGCCCTGTCTGGTGGAGGGCTGCAGTGATGATTGACTTTCTACAACTTTCTCCCACCTCCTGCCTGACTCTCTGAAGCTCGGCCACGGTGATCTTTGGGTTCTTCTTTACCTCTCTCACTAAGACTCTCCTGCCCCGGTAGCTCGGTTTGGCCGGACGACCTGCTCTAGGAAGGGTTCTGGTCGTCCAAAACATCTTCCATTTAAGAATTGGGTGCTGTGTCCATTAATGAGGAAAAAATGAATTTAATGGATTTTAGAAAATGGCTGCAATATAGCAGAGTGAAAAATTGACAGGGGTCTGAATTTTTTCCATACCTATTGTATGTTTGTTTACAGTAAATGTGAAATATTTCATGTAAAACCTCACTTGTGTTTTTGTGGGACTTAGTGTTACCATAAAAGATAAAGATCTAAGCTGAGGGATGTAAAATGGAAGTCTGCTGATGCTTCATGATGTGAATTATCTCTGATTTATTGTTGACATTTTACTTGACGTTTTTGTTTTGTTGCTCAACATGTACTGAAAAGTGCTTTTCCACTAGGAGCAAGAACGTTAATCAGAGCGAATCCATCCCTGCTTAATTCTCCAAGATGATTAATTGCGACTTGGCCTCATATTTACATTTTACAAATGCTTTCGGCAGTCACGGAGAGCAAACTCCAGGTGGATTTGGGGTTTTGTCTTTTATTTTTTTGCCACTGTGTGTTTGGTGGTAGCAGCAGCTGGGCGTGGCCCGACAGGCTGCCGCTCAACAAGGGAAGTTTGTCTACAAGAAGCTCTTGCAGCATAACTCGCTCAGGCTGACAGACTGGGATTGTCGCTGATAAAATGAGCGCTGCTCACAGATATGAATGGAGAGGGAAAACAGATAAAAAGGGAGTGCCAGAGCCTGACATCTTCTGTTGTTGGAGCTGGTCACTATTTGGCTGTATGACTGTGGCCGGAGAGAGACACCCGCTGTCTCTCTCCACCATCTGACGCCCTTTCTCTGCCTCTCCATCTGTCTCTCTTTATGTCTAATTCTTTTTTTTTTTTTTTTTTTGCCATCTTTAGGTTATTGAGTCCCTTTCTGCCTCTCTCTCTCTGGCTTTATTCTCTCCTCGCTGTTCACAGTGTATCTTTTTTGCTCTTTCTCTCTTGTTGCTATGGTGACATCCTTTAGTCAGCGTATGTGTTTGTCTCAGGGAGGGGCCCTGATGTATGAGGGTAAAAATAAGACATGGAAGGAGCGTGGAGATAAAGACGAGGGATGAAAGTCCATGTCAGTCTGCTTTGGGAGCAGTTTAGTGTGAAGTTATGAGTTTCTGTCTGCAAACAATGAAGATGCCTCTTGTGCCATTGCAGAAGACAAAAAGCTCCCCGTGAGGGATGGAGCGATTATTATGACCTGAAAACAAATGCCACACCCTGACCTTATTCATCACAACCCATCCCCCCGTGTAGGTCCTTGATATGCTCAAGAAATCCATACACCTGCCATAACAACGTTCGGAGATCAGGACGATCGTTTCCTCCTGCAGATTCATTATCCACATCTGCACAGATCCCCAGGAGGAAACGTCCAACCCGACTCGTTGAGCAAAGGGTGGAAGTAGGCGGAGTGGCAGAAGCGCCTCGGCCACTCTCACTTTGACTTTCATTCTCATTGGAGTTGATTTTTTTTTGTTAAACAAATTCCTGAAATCTCCCTCCCTTTATTTCAGTGTGCCCTCTTCATCTGAGTGAAACCAGTCACTCCCCCCACCCACCCTCTCACTCCAAACTCCCACTCTCTCCCCTCTTTCCCATGTGTCGAAGTCGTCAGAGCCACGTTTCAGCTGGGCTTTACGTTGCTAGGAGATGGCCCTGTTGCTGTGGCGCTGGTCGTTAGGTGGTCTGCCTGCTTCGCACAAATATGGGGGATTGGAAGGACGAAGGGAGACGGATCAGACAGCGACAGGAACAGACAGTGGACAGAGCTGGGGTCAGGGAGGAGGAGGGTGGGGCAGATCTTGGCTGGGATCCTCCACTCATCATTATGATGGAGAGGCTCTGGGTCAGTTTATTACTGCGTGGGAGTTTGAGAGGAGTTCTTAGAAGAGTATGTCCTCTTCTATAGTAGTCTTTGGCAGAATCCTTTGAATTTGGACAAAGATTTGACATGATAAATGACTCGTACTAAGGTTTCTACTTAAAACGTGCTTTACTGGAAACACAACAGCAACAAATGGTTATCTTTGATGGGCAACACATTCCTTTACATTCGTAACATCTTAGCAGCTAAGCAGTGGTTCACTGGGAAACATATAATACTTGTTTCTTTTTAAACAGGATCGGTCACTCTGAGTTATACATGCATGTTAAACATAAAAATTGTCTTCTACCCCTATTTCCTACATTAGCCGCCCAAAAGAAAATAGACGAGTAAACACTTGGGTCAGAAAAAAGCCACAGAGGTCTACGTCACACTGTAAAATTTGCAATGATGGACTCACCAACTTGGCTTGTGAAGGCTGTGTTGATTTAGAGAGTACAGATCATATCTCGTCGTTTGTATATTCATTCTGTGTTTTTCTTCTGATTGCATTTTTAAGTAAATTTTTTAACACAGGAAAGTTTTTTTTTTACCTTGATGACAGTTTTGATCACTCCTGCGATCTTCATCAGAGCTAGCCGCTAACGGCGGCGTCATTTCCATCTCCGATTAGTACACCCTACTATACATGAAATGTTGGTGATCAGTACGTTACACCACCAAGCAAACATAATAACAGAAAAATGAAACCATAAACAAGAGGAGCAACACATACAAAATACTTTAAAGACCTGTGGATACCCGACATGGGCAATAAACAAAGGATAACAACAAACAACAACAGAAAGAAAAGAACGTCCTGAACAAAGAACCAAAACCAGTGATAACCCTACCTTACATCAAAGGCATAACACAAATAATAAACACAATAGTGAAAAAAACACAAAAAAAACCTGTTAGAAAGTGACTAGTGCACCCAAAGCCATATCAGCGGGACATAAGTGTGTAGTCATATATGAAACCCCATGCCGACTCTACAATAAAACATATGTAAGAGAAACCGGACGCCAACTCAACACACGAACAATAGAACATAGAAAGGTGTGTGAGAAAGAAACAAGTGGAAGACACACAAGAGCAGCAAAACAAGAAGCAGAAAGTACAATAAAGAAATCAGCCGTAACAGACCACTGCATAAGAGAAAATCATATAATGGACTGGGACGACACAAGGATCATAAACACCGAACAACAAAAATACAAAAGATAGATTAAATAAGCTATAGAAATACGGAGACGTGGATGTGGGACCATGAACGGAGACAAGGGGGTCTACACATTAGATCACGCATGGGACTGTGTCATCGGAGAGGGGAGCGCGGGCAGCAGAGGGCGACACCGTCCTCGGCTGCCCGCGGATAAACGGGGAAGAAAGTGATGCCGCCATTAGCGGCTAGCTCTGATGAAGATCGCAGGAGTGATCAAAACTGACAGCAAGGTAAAAAAAAAATCTTTCCTGTGTTCAAAGAAAGAACTTAAAAATGCAGATCATATCTCAACTAGTGGAAGCTAACCGTTAGCATCAGCATCTCTACAATATGGAAGCACACTTTGGGGCTTATGTTTTTTGTAGTGATAGAACATCAACGTTTAATTTTTTACCCAAGAAAGAAGAGCAAATAGCCTAGAAATCTAAACCAAATGTAGCAGTAGCAAAAGATGTTGCTCTGGAGTTCGGCCTCAGCAGGTCTAACATTGGCCTGAACAGTTTTTTACGTAGCCAACTAGCGTTCTATGTTTGTAGAGAGGCGTTGATTTTGGCCGCAGCCAAAAACAACGCCTCTCGTTCGTGAACGCGCATCTCTACAAACAAAGCTAAAACACATTGCTTTACAATTATCATTCTCATGTTATGTTGTTTAAATGTTTATATTTAGACGTATTTGTCCACGAGAAAGGTCACCAACTCTGCATCTGTCTAGGTTTGTCCTCAAACACTGTGGTATTGATGTCTGAATGTGAGCAGATGTAACTATTAGCTAATGCTGAATGGTGGTCAGTTCATTTGCATAGGACAGAGAGCAAAGTTTGAAAATGACTTATTGCCTACATTACACCACAGGACAGGTTGAAGCTATTACTTTTATGGAAAAAACAAATCATTAATTATTTCTGAAAGGGGGAAAACTCCAAATTTTAGCTTTAATGCTCACAGTTCAAGAACGTCTTCAGAGACAACTCATGATGTTTCACAGCAGCCATTTGTTTAAGCAATAACATTTCTGGGCAGTAAGCCCGCCTTCATTAGTGCACGTCTCACAGTTTCTGTGAAATAACCAACAACCATACAGGACTGAAAACTTGAGTTTACGAAGGGGCTAATTCAAGGATGCCATAAAACTGGTGGGGCTGATACACATAGACATGAGTGTGGCTTAAAGACTCTTGGGAGCAGTTATTTTTATTATCTATTTATGAGCATTTGTTTGACATTTAATTACTATACGCACTGCAGTGTATTGACAGGTTAAAATTCAACAAAGAAATATGAAACTTTAGGATCAATCCTACTAATCACCGATTACGAGACGAGTGCCTAACCTATGGGCCATGACAGCACTCACAAACGTATGCTGCCACCCATAAAATAACACGTAGCTTGCCCGTTTCAGGTTTCGGTTAATTCCGTATTCCCTCACCAGAGCTGAGTTGACCCACCGGAATAATAAGGACAAACATAGTTGCTGTCTAGGACCGTACGAAGAAATGAATAGAACCAGTATCCACCAAAACTGCTGTAGGTGCAGCCGTAGCAGTAAAACTGACAGCAAACGTCCAGTTTGATTTTAACCTAAAGTTTAGTTTAGCTACAGCGCTAGCTAGTGTTGACTGTTCCGCATGCTGATGACTGGTTGGATGGGACTGATTCCCCAGCATGCCATGCTCTTTCTTAAATGTTTAAAATGAATTAATTGTGATTTATTTTTATTCAAAGTGAAATTATCACTGATGAAATTAAATATAGACCTACATGTACCAAAGTTAGCCATAGTTTTTAAGTGAGCGAGGGACACCATGACTGAAACAGGTTATGGACCTGGTTAAAAATAAATCATTTCAGTATTGAAGAGCGAAACTTGTGAAGGAAATATGGATGGGTGCATCCATGTTCAAAAGTGGTGGCGTCTAAATTTCCAGTTTAGAAAAGCTAACCTGGAGTACAAGATGAACAGTTCTCTACAAAGACTGGACTCTCATCGTTCACTTTGAAAACCCGTTCAACAGATCTGATTCGTTCCTGAACATCACATCACTAGATGTAATATTTTCTTTAATCTGGCATCATTTTCTTTTGTTGATGGGGTTTGGTGCCTCCTCAGCAGGAAGGATGAGAAAAACAACCAAAAACATTTTAGCCCTCTGGAGGCAGGTTAAAACCTACCTACCTGGTTACTCCACATACGTGTTTCATGAGCATTTATTAACTCAGAAGAACCTCTGAAGGACTTAGTTGTTCGTCCTTTTATCAAAACTGATTTTGAGCCTGAGAGGGTTAAATTGCATGTGTGAGCATCTGATAAAACGTGGATTCACCCACAGAAAAAAGGATGTAATTCAGTTCCATGGCAGGTTTATGGGTTGATTCCTCTGTGGCTGCCTCGTGTGTCACTTGTGAATGGTTTTCCCCTAGTTTTGGTGATGAGCCTGTCCAGTGGAAAGGAAAAACAGCATGCTAAGATGACTTCACTGAAGTTTTAAAGCACTTATAAATAAAATACTTAAAGTCATGTTGTGTTCCACCCTGACAAGAGTTATCACCTCCCACAATAAATCCTGGATTTAAACTGCCAAGCCTCACTTTACTGACTTATGACTACATCATAAAGCACTTTAGTATAATGAAAGGAAAATAGTGTATTACAATGTGACTGAGTCGTGTTCAGACTGGGGCAAACTTACATTCATCTGCACGAGTCTAAGTATGCAGACTCACCAGATTCTGTTTCACACCAAAAATGTTCCAGATTCATGTGAAGAAAAGTAACAAGGTTCAAGAGAGAATCTGTTTATTCTTCAAAATAAGATGCTTTTGTGGACTGTAGGTGTGACGCGTGGCAAATTACATAGAAGCTGAATATATGAAGTTACTTGATAGAGAAGAACTCACATGGAGAGGAGCCAGTTGAGGTGGCTCGGGCATCTAGTTAGGATGCCTCAAGGACACCTCCCTGGTGAGGTTTTCCGGGCACGTCCAACCAGGACATGCTGGAGGGACTATGTCTCTCACCTGGCCAGGGAACACCTAGAATTGCCCCGGAGAAGCTGGCCCAAGTGGCTGGGGAGAAGGAAGTCTGGGCTCCTCTGCTTAGGCTGCTGCCCTCACGACCCGACTCTGGATAAATGGATGGATGGATGTATGGTTGGATGGATAATTGGCTGATTGGATGGATGGATGGATGGATGGATGGATGGATGGATGGATGGATGGATGGATGGATGGATGGACGGATGGATGGATAATTGGCTGATTGGATGGATGGATAATTGGCTGATTGGATGGATGGATGGATGGATGGATAATTGGCTGATTGGATGGATGGATGGATGGATAATTGGCTGACTGGATGAATGGATGGATGGATGGATAATTGGCTGACTGGATGGATGGATGGATGGGTGGATGGATAATTGGCTGATTGGATGGATGGATGGATGGATAATTGGCTGATTGGATGGATGGATGGATGGATGGATAATTGGCTGATTGGATGGATGGATGGATGACTGGCTGATTGGATGGATGGATATTGGATGGATGGATGGATGGATGGATGGATGGATGGATGGACGGACGGATGGATGGATGGATGGAACCAGGAGACATCGTGCTGCTGCTTGAGTTTGGTCAGAATGCGGGTTGTGATGAGCAGATGATTATTTTGTGTGTGTTTTCAGCAAAGTAGAAGTGGTTTTGTTTGGTGCTGTTAACACAACCCTTCTGAATTACTCAGATAAAAATACTCAACTTAGAAACACAAGTTCTGCATTATGTGTTCCATCTGTGGGTGGCTTTTCTTCATGTTTATTTGTCATCTTGTAACCACGTTTTGATTATTGTCCGCACTTCTACAATTTAATTTCCCCCAGAGGATTATTATAGTCTCATGTACTCCCTATTAAAGTAATATTTGTAAGCCTGGGGGATTTGTTCCTGGGCCGGGGTATTGGAAATGGAAGATTTGAGATAGCAGGCTGCGAAGAAGCAGATATTGCTGTAGATTTGTGGAGAGAACAGATATTTCTCAATGGCAGATTCCTTGAAAAGCTCTTTTGCACCTCTCACTCTCTTTCAATCCACGTTCTATAATTATCCGTCTCTCTGTGTCTCCTCCAGGTCGGTGACGCCATGAGAAAAATGCAAGAGAGGAACAACGTCGGCAAAGTGGTCCTCACCACAGAGCCGATGCCTGAGGAGGAGAAAAAGGAGGAGGCCAAGAAGGAGGACAAGAAGAAGGAGGACAAGAAGAAAGATGACAAGAAGAAGGACGATGGAAAGAAGGAGGAGAAGAAGGATGAAAAGAAGAAAGAGGAGCCTAAGAAGGAGGAGAAGAAGGAGGAAGAGACGAAGGAGGAAGCAAAGAAGGAGGAGAAGTGAGAGGGAGGGTAGGGTAGTCGAGCAGAACAGCAGGGAGTTCTGGAAGGAGGGGAGGTGGCGGGGGAGACTAGAGGGGGGGTTATAGAGGGGTGGGGTGGATGATGAGGAGTTGAGATAGATTTGAAATTGATAACATCGTTCTCTGTTTTCACCTCCCCTCTTCCTCACCCATCCATCATACAACGTCCACCTCCCCCCTCCTTGTTGTTGTATTCACACACACACACGCACACACACACACACACACACGCACGCACGCACGCACACACACACACACACACACACACACACACACACACGCATGCACGCACACACACACACACACACACACACACGCATGCACGCACGCACACACACACAGTCCTAAACCTCTCATGAACTCTAATCCTGCCTCCCACCTTCTTTCCCTGAATCGATTTCTGTTATTGGGAATCAAAGCGACACACGAGCCGTGGAGGACGGTGGGTCCGGTCCAGGCCGTGGGCAAATTACTGTCACCGTGACAACCCTAATACCCTCCTCACACTCTGGCCCCACCCTTGACCCTGGGCCCCTCTGCACCTCGACTCCCACTGCGCTAAATCGTTCTGCTCTGACTTCCACCTGCCACCTCCCCTCCCCACCCTCCAGCCCCCACCCCAACTGTGCTCAATCCTCCCCCACCTCATCTTTTCACCCCTAACTCACACCTCCCACACCACCGCCGCCACCCCGATTCACCCTCAAGCCGGATCCTTAGACAGGCGCAAAGACAGGCGGCTAAGCGTTGAACCACACCCACCCACACGCTGATCTCCCAGTGTCCAGCTCAGTTATGTCACTGAGGATGAGTCAGAGACGCCTCTGATTGGCTGATGCACCTCAACGCCCCTGGAGATGCTTCATTGTGATTTCGATCGTAATGTTGGGAGTTGCTGATAAAATGGCGTTAAATGCTCGACGGGCTCCATGTTGCGTGCTTCTCCTCCAAAGTTTGCAGCCGCCGTGGCTCCCCACTGAATACGAGTTCCTCTCATAATGAGCCTTTCTGTGCTGCGTTGAATAGAAAGCCTGAAATTATTGCTCAGCTTCCTTCTTAGTTACAGATTTTTCTAGCTGACCAACTGTTGGCAAGAAGTACGCGCTGCCAATTAGGAGAGAATTAGTTTCTGTCCAGACAACAAACACACCAAATGAATGTGATGAAAGCAGCTCTGTCATGCTGACAGTAAAACGCCTGAAAAGTGTGCAACGTAAGAAGGTGTTTTCTATTCCTCCTTTTGCGTCGGGATTTCTTTCCTCCTCGAGGAATTTCTTTGCATTCTGCTAGTTTTTTCAGCAACCGCCCCGACCCAAGAGAGGAGAATTCAGCTGGAGCTGGTGTCCGTGCCTCACCACCTCCTCCTCTTTCTGTTTCCCTCTCTGTGGTTGGCATAGCAACAGGCGTCAGGCTTGTCAGAGATGGCACTGTGGGCTTTATTTATTTATTTATTTCTTCCCTTCCAACTTCCTCCCTTCTGCAACTCTCTCTCTCTTTCTCTCTCTTCTGCTCCTCCAACAAACAGCCAGAGCTGTCAGCCAGTGTTCCAGCAGGTGGAGAATATTTTATTAGTTTTAAAAAGAAGTTTTTTTAATATTTCCAACTAGCCTTAAAGCTAAACATTTGCATCGATGACGTGTGCAAGCACCTAACGCTGCACGCCACTCCCCTCTCATGGGGAAATAAGCCACTTGGGTTTATTTCCCCTCGCCTGCTCTGCTCCCTGTCTTTGAGTCCGGCTTCACTGTTAAGACTCAGATGGTGACTAGTGACTTTGTATAAAAAATTAAAAAAATAAAAATACGGGAAAAAAAAAGAAAAATGTTTTAAAAAAATAATAAAAATAAAGCAAAAGTACAAAAACAAGATGTGTCAGCATGAGTGGCCTCCCTCATGTGCTGTGTGTGGTGTGCCATTGTGTGTGAAGATGTGTGTGTCCTCAGGTCGTTTGTCAGGTTTTAAAAGCCCCACTCCCACCTGCCCCTCCACACCTCCACCTTACACTACTCTGCTACAGTACGATGTAGCAGCCACCCCACCCTCCTCTTCATCTCTCTCTCTCTCCGTCCTGTCTGATAAGAGGCCTGTGTCATGAGGACAGTTGGTATTTAGTATTTTTGCACTCTGCTCGCTGATTTCAATGCACTTGCAAAGTATGGTGGTCGCACTCCAGTACCCCCACTCCACACACATGCACACACACACACACACACACACACAGGCTTTGATTTAGCTGTGGGTTTGCAGCCTGTTTGTGTCCAGATTCCAGTGAAGCAGCAGACGGGTCAGACAAACTCCTGCAAAGGTCTCCCTGGTTCTCAGCTCTTGCTCAGGCCAACTTCTCCTGGGTGGCAGCTAAAATCAAAGCCTTCGTCCATTCTTCGGCGTGCGGGGAGTAAAACATGGACGGAGATGAGCTGGACTGGAGTGCGACGACCACGCCGGTGTGGGGAGTGATTGTGTTCTGTCAGCCTCTGGTTAGTGTTCTGTTCTAATCTGCTGGGCTCCCTTTGTGAACCTGTGGACGGTGCTTCTGTTCCGAGTGCCATGTGAGAAACAAATGCTTCAGTAAATGAAAAAAAAAAGAAAAATGTCTTACTTACTATGTTATTTTGATTTTACCTTTATGTTTTCTTTTGTTTTTGTTATCCGAGGGTTTAAAGTTCAAAGGTCATACAGTACTCTGTGTGGGGACCTGCTAACCTGCACTCCTTTTAAATGTGATAAAGTTTTTCTTTTTGTTGTTGGTCCAAAACATGTGTGCCAAATTGTATGTATATTCCTCTGTCAATGCTTTGAATATTAACAATGCATAAAAAATATATTAAAAAAATCTGCCTTTGGATGCATTTCCATCAGCCTGGAGAAGGAAAGAAAACGCAGTGAAGTTGTCAGAGTTTTGTATCCCAAATGCTCAGTTCCTTTTGTTTCTGCAGTTTACAAACAGTTTATGGCTTTTGATTGTTTGCAGTCTTACTCAAGTTAGGGTCCACACTGTGCCTCTCATCTTGCACAAAGGTCACCTCAGTCTGAGGCCCCTCCTTTGTATTTACATCATTTTCAGTGTTTTACGAGCACAACCAGCCCTTCTACCTGTTTACGACAAAACAGCACAAGGAAAAGGAGCATTTAGGACTCAAAACATGTTTGTGTGTGTTTCTGTGACTCTGTTGGGTTCTAACAAGCAAACAGATGTTTTCACACAGCTGTGCAGGGATGCTAATCCTGTAACACAGCTGAACAAAACCCCCATCCTATTGACTGAACATAGCTCAGTCCTGTCCTGCACCAGGCTCAACATTTCCGCTTCTCAGCTGCTTTCAGTTCACAAAAGGTTTGTTCGCCATCCCTCTGTTCCTGTGCTGCATCTGCAGTTCCTCTTGGCCCGTGCAACAGTGCAGCAGAGCCAGAACTGTTCTGCGCATCAGCCCCTTTTCTCTACACACTAAATAAAGCATTACTGACATCTGGAATTTGAAACTGCATGTGGAAAACAATTACAAGCCTTTACTTTCAGTATTTTCCCCGTGGATCTGTTGGGCTAATGCCTCTGAGATGAACAGTCAGCTGGGCGGGTGCTTTTAGTCTCTGGTTGGGATTCGAGTTGATCTTTTGGTTAAACTCCGGCCCTCCCCTTCCTCGCTTTGGCCCGCCGTCGGAAAGCTTTTTCACTACGGTGAAGCTGGATCGCATGTCACCTTGAAGCGGTTTCCCAGTCACTCCAGACACTTATGCAAGAGCAACTCAGAGATGCAATGAAGAAAAACTGTTACAAAGTAAAAATAGTCAAAGACTGGTAACTTTTCTGGGCATTTGCTGATTTAGATCTGAATTAACACGCAAACGTTTGGGTCAGGAACACAGTATTTCTGTAGCTGATCTTCTTTCTGTCTTTAGAGTGTGGCTAAAGTTCCTCACAGGCATCAACTCTTGAGTTTTGAAGTTTTTTTTTTATTATTATTTTTGTTTCTCAGGTCGTTCCAAACAGCATTTCGTCTCATTGCTAACACACACACAACAAAACTGCTCCACGAACTCTCACATCGGTTGTCTTTCGCAGCATCCATGTCTGGTCTAAGAGGAGGCTCTGTCAGTGGCTCGTCCACACTGAGAACCCAAACAGTCACGTGCACCTGCAGCTATTTTCTCTTTTAGCAGTCACTTTTAAAGTTTTGGCAATGAAGAAGCATTGCAGAGCTGCTAAGCAAGTACAATCTGCTCTGGATTGTCACTAGAACGCATGTTTGTGTGAATCTGTTGTCACAATGTGAAGGAGGGGAGTGCCAGTCCACCTCCCCGGCCTTCATCTCCCCGGTCCCCGCTCTCCCCTACAGCATGGGCACTGCCGAAGCCAGCTGGCACATCCATGCACAATCTTAACCTATCTCTGGGAATGCTTCAGACACTCGCTGCCCCCCGCTTCATCATCACTGGTCATTTTCGACACCGCGTACCAGACCGGTGACTTTTTTCTTCTCTGTCCGACTCTGGTTTTATTTTCCTGGCTGCAAACAAACTTCCCATCTCAACTTTGTTTTTTAAACCCTTTGAATTGATGCTGCTTCTGTGTTTGACTTTGGGTTTAGTGCGTGGTGCCATGTTGTCCAAATGGCCTTTAGAGCTTGTAACGCTTCAGTGTGTGATGTTACCATATGCCTTACATGTTTTCCAGGACTAATAAAAAAAAAGCATAACAAAAAAGTTAGGAAATGTGCTCTTTTATTTCTGTCCCTGACTTCATTCATTTGATTGCTCAATTTCCTGCAGAAAAACACCCGTTTCTCCTCAACTGGATCAATTAAAACCACACAGAATGGTCCAGAGCGTGTCTCAATACCGTACAGTGAAAAGTGTAGCGTCATGAATGTCCTGTTTATGACCTAAAGGTCATGATCTGCTGCGTCTGCTCGAGCAGAGACATAAAGTCTCTGACAGCCTAATCTACATGGTAAATGGTAAATGGTCTGTATTTGATATAGCGCCTTCTAGAGTCCTGGAACCCCTCAAGGCGCTTTACAACACAATCAATCATTCACCCATTCACACACACATTCACACGCTGGTGGGGATGAGCTACGATGTAGCCACAGCTGCCCTGGGGCGCACTGACAGAGGTGAGGCTGCCGAGCACTGGCGCCACCGGTCCCTCCGACCACCACCAGCAGGCAACGTGGGTTAAGTGTCTTGCCCAAGGACACAACGACAGTGACAGACTGAGCGGGGCTCGAACTTGCAACCTTCCGATTACGGGGCGAGCACTTAACTCCTGTGCCACCGTCGCCCGACATGAGATAGTGGCCAAGGTCTTTCATGCACTCTGCTCATCTGAACTGATTCACCTCTGTCAGCGAAGACGAAGACGAAGAACTCTCTTGTGATAAAATATATAATTAACAACTCTGTTATTACCAGTAATAATGTGAGCCCAATGTTCAATCAATCTGTGAAATGACAATGTTATTACTTGATGTTATAATCCTGTGATCAGTAGTATTTTACAAGTTGTTATAATCCTGGACATCTGCACTAGACACTGGTGACACGTAATGCTAAAGTCACACGACACATTTCCTTTTGTCTGATCCAATCAGAACCTTCGTTTCTGGCTGGGCGTGGTTATCTGTGGTGTTTGTATAAACCCTCTTTGGCATGTCAAATTCTGATTCGCCAGTAAACCAAAATATGACAATTATAAAAACTATCCCACGCCACCTTTTCTTTAGTTCAAGCGTTCTAGAGAAGTCTGGGACCGGCCATCCGGACTTCCTCTTCAGCCTTAAAGAACCTCAGACAAGCTGGATAAAATCTGTTGCAAGTTACACCTGACCGCAACAGTTCCTTCAGAATAAAAGCTGAACCTCACGACCCCTTCAGGACTCGGAGACGTCAGTGATAACTTGTCGTGACCTGGAAGCATTCCAAGACTAGTTTGGTCGGCACCGCTGCTTTTCTACCGGCTTCGGTTCCAAGGAGGGTCCGAGAGGACATCGACATTCTGGATCTAACGGAGGCTTCCCCTGGGGTACGTAGACCGACAGATGGCGTTTCATGTGTGTTATAAATCTCCTACTAAAGTTTAGAGCGCAACATTCACTCCCACTCAGAACTAAATGCTTCTCCAGATCCGCTGGTTCTGAATAACATTCCACACACACACACCATCATCATTCATCACGTCTCCCTCCACCTTACTCCATCAGTACACAGAGTGTTAAAGTTAGTCTTGTTTAAATTGTGTAGAAATAAATTTCTTAACTATTATAAACCAGACTCTCTCTCTTTCCTTGGAGTTAATACGAAGTGTCGCTTAATCCCTGCAATAAAAAGTTCTGATCTTCTGGTTAAAATATTCAAAGATCCATCAGATTGATATTTCATATTTCTATGGAATCTCACATTTTATGGTTCATAAATAAGATTTTTACGACCCATCCTTTACAAATGTAAATGCACTTGTTTACTCAAACACAAGGAAAATGCTGGGAACACTATGAAATGATGCAAAAATGTTGGTCCATTAAAAATCATTTAGAAATTAAACTGGCTTTCTTAAAAAGTTGCTCAGAAGATAAACAGGATCTGACATTAAATAATCAGAGATTAGAATTCCTGTAAGAATTTAAAAAAATCTAGAACCATTTATCACCAAATATATGGTATTTAAGTGACAAAGTTGATGTAATTAAACAGAACAATAAAACATGTGAAAAATCACACAAGAACTCCCTTTCTGCTGATGGCTACTCAATCCCGTAGGAGGTCAAGATGGTAGACAAGTGCATCAAGTAGGTGGAGTCTGGGTAACCTTTCCTGAAAACGACAGAAAAAGAAGAAATATCAGATTGGTTGAACATCTGTGACAATATTTTGTGCAGACTGTTTTAACATTCACTTCACTCACTGAGCTTTTCCTCCCTGTAAGCTGGTCTTGTGTGGGATGCGGTCCCAGTCAACCTTGGCCTCTGCCCCCTTTCCTCTCACTGTGAAGGTGAAACCCTGCCTGAAGGCTTCTTTCAACCTGGGAACCAGTCTCTTCCCTTTTTCGCTGAAAGGGAGGTAAGCTTCAAAAACTCCTCCTCTAAACGGTTTTCTAGGAGATGGATCATCATCCTGATGAGATGAAGCAGAAGCAAAAACAAAAGTCCTTAGATAAAAAGAGTTATAGGCTGTATGAATAAAACCAAACCGTTATCACACAACCCTGAATGTAGAATGAGAACACAGGTGTGTGCAGCCTTTTCTTTCAGCATTTCGGTGAACAAAAAGAAAGAATGCAAGCACATATGAGGCGTTGTTTGTAATGTAACAATGAAAAATGGATTCAGGAATTTACCACAATGACTTTCAAATGGTGATATTTTGTTAAAAGCTCAACTTTACTCAAGTTTTTTATCCATTTGCAGTGGTTGCTAGAAGGAATTATTGCCGTGAAAGTTGTTCTGTGGGGAAAAAAAGCGCCGGTGCGGCTCTTTCAGGATGCATAATTAGCTTCAGACGACAGGATTTGGGCTCTTATTTCCTGATATTTAAGCATCTCACACCTGATTGGCTAAAGGAAACACAACTCCACCACTGCCTCTGTTTGCCTCCACAAATAACACAAGCCTGAAGGAGTGTGGAGGACTGTGTGGTGGAGTTGCTAATGCTAACGATTATGTAGCATCATGAATGTCCTGTTTATGATCTAAAGGTCATGATCTGCTCGAGCAGAGACAAAAAGTCTCTGACAGCCTAATCTACATGAGATAGTGGCCAAGGTCTTTCATGCACTCTGCTCATCTGAACTGCTTCACCTGTTACAACTCAAGACGAAGACGAAGAACTCTCTTGTGATAAACACATAATCAACAACTTTGTTATTACCAATAATAATGTGAGCCCAATGTTCAATCAATCTGTGAAATGACAATGTTATTACTTGATGTTATAATCCTGTGATCAGTAGTATTTTACAAGTTATTATAATCCTGGACATTTGCACTAGACACTGATGACACGTAATGCTAAAGTCACACGACACATTTCCTTTTGTCTGATCCAATCAGAACCTTCGTTTCTGGCTGGGCGTGGTTATCTGTGGTGTTTGTATAAACCCTCTTTGGCATGTCAAATTCTGATTCGCCAGTAAACCAAAATATGACAATTATAAAAACTATCCCACGCCACCTTTTCTTTAGTTCAAGCGTTCTAGAGGAGTCTGGGACCGGCCATCCGGACTTCCTCTTCAGCCTTAAAGAACCTCAGACAAGCTGGATAAAATCTGTTGCACGTTACACCTGACCGCAACAGTTCCTTCAGAATAAAAGCTGAACCTCACGACCCCTTCAGGACCCGGAGACGTCAGTGATAACCTGTCGTGACCTCGGAGCATTCCAAGACTAGTTTGGTCGGCACCGCTGCTTTTCTACCGGCTTCGGCTCCAAGGAGGGTCCGAGATGACCTCGGCATTCTGGATCTAACGGAGGCTTCCCCTGGGGTACGTAGACCGACAGATGGGTTTCATGTGTGTTATAAATCTCCGACTAAAGTTTAGAGCGAAACATTCACTCCCACTCAGAACTAAATGCTTCTCCGGATCCGCTGGTTCTGAATAACATTCCACACACACACCATCATCATTCATCACGTCTCACTCCACCTTACTCCATCAGTACACAGAGTGTTAAAGTTAGTCTTGTTTAAATTGTGTAGAAATAAATTTCTTAACTATTATAAACCAGACTCTCTCTCTTTCCTTGGAGTTAATACGAAGTGTCGCTTAATCCCTGCAATAAAAAGTTCTGATCTTCTGGTTAAAATAGTCAAAGATCCATCAGATTGTCATTTCATATTTCTATGGAATCTCACATTTTATGGTTCATAAGTAAGATGTAAACTAGGGCTGCTCAATTAATCGAATTTTAATCACGATTACGATCTGAGTTTTGAACGATTATAAAAAACAAAACAAGCCGATTATTTGCTCCTCCCGCTTGCGCTGCCCTGAGTTGCAAATGAAGCACTCCTCCCACAGTGTTGCCAACCTAGTGACTTTCACGCTATTTCTAGCAGCTTTTCAGACCACCTTCTTGACTTTTTAACTTAAAAGTACCTAGCGAACACCTCAGAAACATCTCTGGTAACCCTTAGCTACTTTCTGGATAACTGTCGTCGACGTTTCCTGCAGGTTAGCTAAACACTCCGCCTGTGCTCCGGACCGTTCTTCAGGACATTAGGAAAGGGAATGATGTAGTGATGTGTCAGTCGCTAAAGAAACAGCTCTCAGAGCCGGCTCCCTGTTGGATTAACCAGAGTGAGTGACACACACACCACACCTGCGGATTCCTGAGCCGCTAAAAACGGCTAAATGTGCGCGTGCGGCGCGCTAAACACGCGTGCAGCTTGCCCCTGATTGCTGTGAAACCGGGTTTGGGGGGTGGGGGGTGCAGCTGTGGTTGGGACAATTATTACATTAACTGATGGACTTGTGAATAAATAGTTTATAAATAAGGTAGAAATAAGTTCCTCACGCTGATAAATAATAAATAATCTCTCTGAGGACACGGTGCTAGTGCACGCTCCTACAGCACCTTGACACGAGTCAATAAATGTTATGCAAAATTTTGTGAACATCAATTTATTTGCATTTATTTGTTATAAATGCCACTGTATAATTTTTTTTTCTGTATTTGCAAGATATTGGTATTTGGGTCTGTACTGGTTAGACTTAAATGAGTTAAACCAAGGTCTATAGCCCTTGGGTCATAAACTATGAGCTATAAGTATATTGGTCTTTTTATACTGGGAATCAGGAGTTATTTTAGTGATCATCTTGTTTCTTATTTAATTTTGTCCTGATTGTGCCCTGAGCAATTTTATGACTGAATAAAAACAATTGAAATCAACATAAATTGAAAAATCGTCCTAAATAATCGTGATCTCAATTTCAGTCACCATAATCGTGATTATTATTTTTGCCATAATCGAGCAGCCCTAATGTAAACGACCCATCCTTTACAATTAGCTTCTACTGAGATGTTGTTCTCTGCTGTTCCCTGGACGCTAAAACAAAGGAAAAGGAAAAAGGGAAATAAGCAAAACGATTAAACTAAGTCGTACTTTACACTAGGGTAGTCACGGTGTGAAAATGTTACCTCACGGTTATTGTGACCAAAATTACCAAGGTTTTCTGTATTATCGCGGTATTTTTTTAAACGTGTTACATTTTCAGACAGCTAAATGCTGTCCCCTGTATATCAGGAAAATATTGTCCTCAGTTTATGTCTAAATTGTGTCTAAAATGTGTTATTTTGTAATTATGTTGTTTATTTGTTTACATTTTCCCCTTTAGTCTTTAAAATACCAATATTTGCCCATAACTTCCTATTTTGTCTGTTTGATGTCATCATTTTAAAAATATTAGATCAGATGATACTCAGTACTCAAGTAGCCTTCTAATCAGATACTTTTTTACCCTTACTTGAGTAATAAACCCTATATCAGGAAAATATTGCCCTCGGTTTGTGTCCTTCCAGTGAGCTTTGCAGATGTGGGAAAATGTCATCAGGCAGTAATCATTGTTAAATTCATAATTATTCTCGGAGAGAGACCAACTCTTATCTGCCCCTGGGAGCCCCGTAATGCATAGCGTCATTTCAACATGGCGGTGTCCGCGACACGGTTTGTATGCAGGTAGCGGCGCTGCGGCTGCTTTATATAGCGACTCGTTGCATTCTCCCTCAACCCAAATCCTCGGATCACGCGTTTTAGCTAAAACGCTAACGTTAGCTTGCCTTGCGTTGACTGTAGAGTTGTGGGTGATGGTCACGCAGATGTGTCATGAGATTTGAAGCGTTGCTGCCTTTCACAGACACTTTTTCTGCACGTGCTGCAAACAGGATAGCCGTCTTCTATCAACTGTCCCTCGGCATTCTTCATATATCCAAAACATGTCCATGATACCCACTTTGTCTTCTTTGAGGGATAATAAATGTCCTGAGCGCTGCCGTCTCCTCCTTTGACCATTATTTCAGCTTTAGCTTCAAGAAAGTTTTGGTTGTAAACAACAAAGTGCGCATGTGCCGCCGGCAACTTCAGCAAATGATACGGTGGCTGGTAAGGGTCAACGCGCCTACACCGCAGCCACGGTAATCCACAGAGATTTTTTTTTTCAAACAAGACGGTTATTATTATTGACAACTTTTTTACCGGGTTTACCGCTACACTGGTTACCGTGACAACCCTAGAATGTTCAGGGTTACAGAGGTTCTTATGGAGCTTGGCTAGACCAACATGCAGAGCAAATTCATTTTTGTTCATTTGTTTGTCATTAAAACAAGATTTATATAGGTTGTTAGGTTATAGGAGACCCAAGTCTCCTCCCTTTCCAATCAACTCATGGGTCCATGGAAAAACAAAAAATGAATGCTAGTCAATGGTTCTATAAAAGCTATTTTCTAATCCTGTTTGTGATGTGCCATGAATTTCACATATGATGTCTGTGAATTTTAGACACATTTTGACGCCAAGAAAGTACTTCTTTTTGAATAGCGATAAAAGTTATTTTATGTTTTGTGTGGAAATACGTCCAAGAGTACAAATGTGCATCACCACATTGATGTCATTGAATCAGACAAGGAGAAGAGCAGAGGGGAAATGACTGTAAGTTTATGGAACTTCGAATCCTTCCTTCAGGAGGAAAGAACCACCATAAATCTGGCCATGTGGTAAGTAGCAGCTACGCTAGGGGAGGGGAGATTATGTGGTGATGTCACATATGTGACGTGCCGACATCTGATTTAAAGTCATGTTAATTGGGAACTTTTACAAGCTGATAAATCATCTATAAAGTACATGACTGACATGGTTGAAACACACATCATTACTTTTCATTTAAATTGAAGTACAACATATGTGTGATTCAGGGTGTAAAGCTAAGGAAAAATAGCTCTTTTAGCCCCGTTGACTTGTATTCATTTTATTGTTCTTCCGGGGACCCGTGAGTCACCCTGAAGGGAGGAGACTTAGGCTCCCTATTACGTTATTACTCATTATTACAAGATGCTGCTCCTATATTTCTTCCTGCACTGACTGTAATACGTTTTTGTACGGGTCCTTGTTGTCAACAATGCTATTCACTGAATCCTCTCTCTATTTTTTTTCCTTCGAGGCACTTATTTTTCTATTATTTCCAGCGATGTCCTGAAGTAAGGGGCTACAGCAGCACAAGAAACCAAAGAAGTCCAGTTGCCTTCATTTGAACCCTTTTGGATGACCATGACCTGGATGACTGAGAACCTTCACCAGCGGCAGCACAAACGTTAGCCGTTAGCGTATCCAGCTGCCTTTGCAATATTACTATTGTGCACACAACCATAGATCATCTGTATGTTGTGCAGCTTTAGCCCCTATGGAACTAATGAGGCAGGCACAGAATGGAACTGTAGCTGTACAAGTGCAGGTACAATGACCTAAAACAGCCCTGCAGGTGCTATCTGAAGACTCTCCAGTTTTGCTCAGTCTCTTTAGAGATGAAAGTCTAACTACCTAGATAAGGTTAAGGGTTTGTGTCAGATAATAAGCTACTCACCCCCTGGATACCATCAGGAATGCAGTAAGTGATCTTGATAGTCATGTCCTTATTGTGACCCGGTAAACTGATGTTTAGTCTAGATGTCTTCATTTCTCCCTTGATGCCTCGAGGCCTTTGCTCTGGCTCGGGACAAACTCTGCATTTGTAATGAATGGTTTCCAGGCACCTTTGACACAGGGTAACCCCACACTTGGTCCTCATCACTGATGGCCCTTTCTCCCCACAAACACAGTGTTGAAGCTGACCTGATCCGGACTCTTCTGAAGTGTTTAGGACCTCGGCGTCTCTTTGCCTAGTACTGTCAGTATGGGTAGCATGGATGGTCCTGTCTTTGCTGGCTGCAACTGATGAGACACCGTTCACTGGAACCGAATGATTTCTTGTTAGACTCACAGATTGCTCAGCTCTCTGTCTATCATCCATCCTTGTGACCTTTAATTTCTCTTGAGTCATCTGCTCTTGTCTCGCTGGTGTTTTGCTGTAAACTCCATTAACAATCCCTTTCTCACCAAAGTCACTCTTGTAGGTAGATGTCCATTGCTGACAGTCCGTTTGGGTCTCTAGACCCACCTGAGAAGCGTTGTTCAGCTGTGGACTAAAACTCTGATGTATCTGTGAAGAAGAAGCTGAACTCCATAAGGGCACAGAGGGACTCGAGAAGTGGTGTGGTTCCGATTCTCCAGAAAACACCTCCTTCAGTGTAGTGGCAACCTGAGAGCACAACTGGTGTGGACCTGTAAGGTACAAGCTTTTGGCGCCTATGTAGATGGAAACCTTCTTGAAGCGACTTCGTACCTCAGTGCAACAAGCCTGTAAGGTTTCATCTTGAGGACTAGAAACCCTCAGCTCTGACAAGCGAATCTCGTGCACGGAGAAGTCAGCACTAACCATTTGGACGAGTTTACATAAACGTTCCTGACACAATCTCACTTTAGATGAGTCGGGCCCTGTCACATTGATCTTCAGATCTCGGCCTCCCTGTGAGATGGTCTCTTCCAAGTGGACATCAGCAGCCAGGTCCTCCAGTCGGGTGCTGTAGGCTTCCTTAATGTACTGCCACATAACCTGGGAAACTGAAACCTCTGGAACATGGATTTCCTGTTTGCCCCCCACAGTTTGACCACCGAAGCTACTGGACCTCTCCCTAGTTGCGACCGTGGGTTTACTGGAATCATCTTGACTCATCTGGCCCACAACCTGAGCTTTACGCTTCGGTGTTCCTGAGAAACTACTGGCTCGCCTCAAGGTGGATCCGGACCCAAAAGGAGGAAGTACAGTGCTTTCTGAAAAATCGGAATTGCCAAATGAGGATGGTGAATTCTTTGAAGGACTGTCAATCAAAGAGGTACTACTCTGCATGGCAACATAGGAAGGTGACCCAGTTTTAAACAGGATGTCCCCTCCTGTGTTTTGGGCTCTGGATAGTGCTCCACCAGAAATCCCAGCTGGTTCTGAAAAGACATCATACCCCAGCACTGGCCGCTGATGCGTTGGTCTACTGGGCGATGAGTTTGAGCGGATGGTAAAGTCAGCCGGTCGACTGCCTAATCCACCGAGACCTGAATCTTTAAACCGGGCAGCTAGTTTATACCTTCTGGATCCTTCAGCTCTTAAATCTTCTTCCTCTGATCTCAGCATCTGACTTGTCTTTTCATCTGAATATGCTAGAGGGGAAGGAAAAGTCGAGGGCACCCTAGCTTCCTCTGCATGACTTGGAGATTGACTTGAATTAAACCAAGGACTGGTAGCATCCTCCTTTTTGTCTCTCACATTGTCGTGGTCCAGAAGAAGAATGCTCTTGGCTTCAGACACATCCTTATCACAACCAATAAAGTAAATATTTTGTTCATCTTCATTTAGAAGGAGCTTTGGAAATCTGACACTTAAGTTCTCCAGGGCCTTTTGCAGTCCACCTCTGGGGCACAGGATGCTCTTAGGGAGCTGGTCTTTACAGGTCTTTGCCTCGTTCTCCTCGTAGAGCCGACTAATTGCCTTTTTAGCTTGCTCCAGGTGTACCCGCCCACTCTCCGTTGCAGCTGTATCTGCAGCTTTTAGAAACAGAGTAGTCACACCTTGATTTGTCGCGTTTACCACCTCGACACCATTCTGACTGAGGATCTGTTGGTATTCTTTCTTGCAGTGTTCCTGCAGGTACTGGAACATGTCTGCGTCAACAACTAGAGTGAAATCCTCCATGAATGCAGTAGGAGAGGGCAGCATGGCACCCTCTGTATTGGGTCCCACGTTTCTATTTGAACTTGAGTTCTCCTTGTCCAGTGCTCTGTCACTGTTACCATTTTTTCTTTTGTCCTTCTGCTTAGGTTTTCTGCTCTGGTCTTCCCATACCTGAGGCTTCTGGGATGTCTGAACAGAAGTGGAACAGCTGGGGAATGGCTGACCAGAGTCTTTGTTTTCTACTTGCTCTGGACCTCCAGAATAATCAAGTAGCTGGGCCAAAGCAGCGTGCACTTTGGAGTAGGAGCCAAGCAATGTACAGTGTGTTTCAGCAGCAGCATAGCTTATCTGGATCTCTTTGTGGTTGTTCCAAAGGTTTGTCAAAATCTCAACTCCACCTGGAAGCTGACTGTAGTCAACAGTTGCTGATAAACTTAAGACGACCTAGAATAAAGGTAATAAGACTTAATAAACTCTGTTACTATGATTAATAATGACTTTATTGTGCAGAATAAATGGCTATGTTTACCTGATCTGGATCCAGGCTTTCCTGATGCCTTGTTGCAGTCAGTTTATACTTCTTCCCATCCACTTCCAGAATGTGCCAGCTGCGCTGAATAACTCTCTGTGCCACTGCGCGAGAGGGGTCATTGGACAGAAATCAATCACAGTCTCACAAGCATCCTGACTAAGCATTTCAGCCATCGGCTGCTCCGTTGACTTGCGTGCAAGTGTTCCGGCTCGGCGTAAATCAGTGGTGACAGCAGACAAAGTGCAACACCTCGCTAATGCCACATAAAAAATGCATTCAAGTGGGAGGCTGTTGGTATTAAATAAAGTTCATTTTTAGCCACAATGCTCTTCAAACAGCAGCTTTTTCATAAATAAACAGTCCCAATTCTTCACACCTTAAAAAGTCCGGGGTGTGAATTCAACCCCTGACCCCACTGACCTGTGCTGTCCTCAAAGGTGACGAGGGCAGAGGGAGGTTCTGACTTGACAATGACGACAGAGTTTACTTCCCCTCCTCCATTTCTGGCTCTTAGAAAGTGAATAAATAACTTGTCTTGCAGCCTGTTACTCTGGATGTCTGCGGGCAGACCGCTCACCCTCACCGTCCTGCCCGGCCCCGCCATCTGCTGGAGAAGCACAATCAGTGCTGAGTGGGAGAACGCAGCTCCATGACGGCATGATCCTACAGCGATGCTGAGCACAAATATCAATTCAGAGAAGCCAAAAGGCTCACATGTGTGACACATCTGTGTGTCACTGTTAATAATAATTAAAAAGTCAACTTTTACAAACAGAATGTGACACGTTACATAAAACATCTCCCTCTGCTGGGGGTTGCCAGGATACTACATCAACAGGCTAAATTTTTCCATCCCAATAAAAAAGTTTATTCTGTGCTCTGAAATAAAACAAAAAAACTTCATCTAATTTATAGTACTGTGAAAAGAAATAACCCCTAAAAGATGTCTTCTGTTTTCATTTATCTTTTAGATCCTAACATTAGGGGTGGGCAACATAAACAATATAAGGTAGAAAGGATATAATGATAAGTTTTTGGCTCTACCGCGATAACACATGATGTCACTCAGGGTAGCTGCAGGTGTAAGGGAGCCAAATTTAAGACTTTTTAAGACCTTTTTAAGGCCACTTTGACCAAATTTAAGCTATTTTTTCTAATTAAATTTAAGTTATAATTCCCAGCTATTGCCTAATTAGCCATCCAGTTACCATTAAACTTGCACTTCCCCATGGTGCAAGCTCCCACTAGCTTAACCAGCTAATGTGCTCATCTAAAAATAGTCCCCTTTCACAACCAACTGAATGTGTACGGTTCTGCTTACGGCAACATCGTACACAAAAAATGCTGAACACTAACTAGAAATTCACGAACACTTTATAGAAATAAAAGAATCTTGTTTATTGGGTCTTTGGTCATTTAAGACCTTTGGAAACTGTTTTCAAGGATTATTTGTCATTTTTAAGGATTTTTAAGGCCTTAAATTTGGAAAAGCAAATTTAAGACTTTTTAAGGACGCGCGGATGCCCTGGTCACTAAGATGTGCACCCGCGCCGACACTGGAACAACAGAATGGCGGTGACTGCAAGCATGTAGCGGGAGGAGGAGCAGCATTCTACACGTTTTGGACGTCTTTATTCTGCTGCAATATATTTTCCATATGAGGATTTTTTAAAGCATGTCATTTCGACATATGTAAACAAAGGGAAAAATATATCACAGTATATAACATGCTTCAGATTATATTGCAGTATAGATTTGAGGCCACGGGCGTAATTTTCACTTTAGATGTGTGTGTGGGGGTGGGGGTGGGGGGGGGGGGGGGTATCTTTACAGTATGTTCTAATGGGAAACAGGCTTCAACACAAGCGTCTCTACTTGTCCTAGAGCTCAACCAGTGTCAATTTAATATAAAGTAATATTGCTTTTGGATGGTAAAAAGTGCAGGGGTCAAAACTTGACTTTGGAAAAAGTGGGGGGGACATCCCCCCCCCCCCCCCCCCAAAAAAAAAATTACGTCCATGTTTGAGGCCATATCGCCCAGCAGCCCTACCTAAAATGTAATAACCAGTTGTAACAAGTGCATTCCTGCATTTGTAATAACTAGTAATGAGTCCCTCACACTGGGAAGGAAGATATTTCCTCTCTTTGCACAAGTGGTTTAAATCTGCTGGGTTTTCCTGTTGGAGGTCAAAGGTCAGATATTCTTGTTGTCAGACAGGTTCTACTGAGGTGATTTCCTGCAGATCTGGCAGCAACAACCAGGGGTGCTGCTGGTGAAACTGAACTAATAAATAGGCTTGACTAACATAAGTAACTTCTGATTTAATCAAATATGTTGGAGGCGTTGATTTAGATGTCCACAGCTGCATTCTGAAGTTAAGTTGCGTTGGTTAAGAGTTAGATTTATCAGCAAATAAAACGTTTTCAGATCTGAAACCTTAAAGAGCAAGTCACCCCCTACAAGAAACTTACTTCACTCTCTCTTCATGTTTGAAAAATGCAACAAATGCTGTTGCCTAGCAGACCGAGAGGGCGGAGCCACTAACAAATACACACACACAGGCTCACAACGGCATTATGACATCATAATGTACCAGTTTACATCATAGCATACCTCTTAGCCAACAGCGGTGGCAGATTTAAATTCAAATGCAGTGCAGAGTTTTTACCTGACAACGGCACAACACTGAAAGTTTTAGGCAGAATATTTAAATTTTAACTAAGATGCACTGAAGTACCAAATTATTGACTACACGTGTCTACAGCACGATTAGACACACATTTATAAAGTTTATCAGCAAAAAAAAAAAAAGTTGATTTGGGGGTGACTTGCTCTTTAACAAAAACAAGCAGAAACATTAAAATGATTGAGCACCTCCTCTTCCTCCTTCAAAAAGATTGTGTTTGAAAATAAAACCAAAACGTGTTTCCCTCATCTTGGCTTTGCGCACATCAGCTACACACATCTGGACAGTTTCCTGAAAATAGGCCGATTCTAAGGCTTTGTTGCTCAAACACGAGAAAAAAAAAAGCCCGAACAAGGCGAGGGTTTACAGCTCCATGTTATCTGAGAGCGAGAAGAGAAGCCACATTGTTGAGACGAGAATCAAGGAAGTGAATAAATCAGGCACGTCTGGTCCGCCGCAGCGCTAAAGCCAACACGGTTATATGTGCAGGGAAGATTTAATTCTACTGTAATCATTACTGACCTTCAGAGTTTCACGCTGGCTTCTGTTTACTCGCTAATATTCAAAGACCGTCACTTTTTACGTGAAGAGGAAGAAAAGTGAAACTAACCAGATGTCGTAACGGTTTCATTCCGCCAGGGGGCGGACATGGACGTGTGTGAAACGGTGAATAATGTAATAAAATTAAAAATTAAATTAAATTAAATTAAATCATATTGCTCTGCTTTTTATCTAGATAAAGGCACAATCTACAGATAATGTTTAACTTCCAGTCTTCCTACAGATCTTTAATTTTTTCAAAGAAACTCCTAAAATTTTCTATGTGAAATATTCCTTTAATCTAGCTAGTGAAAAGTGTGTAGAGGTTGGAGGAACATAGCTCAAAACTTTAGATTCAAACCTTTTAAATCACTTACCTGGTTCGATATTTTTAAAAGTGAAGTTAATAACCATATTGCTATTTCAGTTGGATGGAAACTTTTTATTTCACCACTAAGAAATTTGATTGAATACTTTGTGTTTAGCTCGACAACATCAGCTAATAGGTTGGTCAAATTATTGATGATCACATTTAAACAACAATGCATACTGACCAAAGATCTGGCCCAAGCCAGGACCAAACTACCAATATGAAAGAAGCGACAATGGCCCCGTATAAAACCAACAGTATTGTGAAATCCCTTCCTAAAATCTAGAAACGAAAATAAATGACTTGCCCACAGCAAGAGTTTTTGGGTGAAATGCAAATTGATTTTGCCAGCATAATGTTATTTTTTTAATCTCATTGTCATTTACAGGTGAAACTAAAAAAATGGATATCAAGCACAAGTTCATTTAATTCAGTAATCTAACTCAACAGGAAAAACGAATGTATAAAGTAGACTCATTAAATGCAAAGCAAGATATTTCAAGCCTTTATTTGTTATCATTGTTGTGATTATGGCTTACAACTTATGAAAACCCTAAATTCAAAATCTCAGGTTCAATAGTCTTGGCTAAAAGTGTCTCACTCTAATCAGCTAATTATTTCAATATACCTGCAAAATGGTTCCAGAGTATTTAAATTGTATCTCCATCTAAGTTTAAGAACTGAAATAAACGGACTTTCTAATATTCTAATATATCCAGTTCACCTGTATTTTGTGAGTTTGAAGTGGGGAGCACTCATATGAACTACCAGTAGATGGCAGCCTTGAATTGTTCTCTCAAATTGAAACGCTTGTGAACTCTCATTCAGCGAGGCAGAGTTTCGTCCAATCAGATGACTCGTTGCGGCATGCAAGCGCGCAGGCGCATTGGATTTCATGCGCTCTGTAGTGTCCGGTGGAGGTCACAGCGGAAACCGAGGTGAGTTACATGTGTTATACATTAGTTTAGAAGCGTTGATACAGTATAGAAGCGTTGATACAGTAAGAGGTATACATTTATATTTTCCTCTTTGTGCTACCAAACTATTAATGTGACAACGTGATATCTGTCTAGCGCGAGTTATCCGGCTGCATCATGTTCTTTAGAGCTAACACGCGTTTAATCACGCAGCGTGCTGTTAGTTTTATCCACATACATTTCTTTAACATATTTAAAATAACACTTCCCCTTCCGTAATCTGTCACATTAGGTGCTCGGTGTAGTCTGAACGAATTATGTGAATTTATTTTGTCTCAGATCACGGCTAGCTGCTAAGCTAACTCGTTGCTAGCTACCACTCAGCCGTGACAATCTTATCAAGGTTGTTCCTGGAGAAGAGGGATTAAAGTGGGCCTTTCAAGGATCCTTGTTTAGGCTTAAGTTGTTTATTGTACAATGAGTGAGTGAAGTCGGTGTTTTAGGTCTCAAACGCTTTTCGTTGTCTGCAGGTTGCTGTCATGGCCAAGTTATTTGAGTCCATTGGGAAGTTGGGGATTGCCCTCGCTATCGGTGGAGGTGTTGTGAACTCCGCCCTCTTTAATGGTGAGTAGTCAACACTTCCACATTAACACGAATGTTATTTAGTTTAGGATTTGATGGTTTAGTGTTTAAAAAGCAACGTGATTACTGCATGGTGTTGTTAGATCATGCAGAAATAAGATTGCATCACCATTGGCGATGAATGGTGGTCACTTGTGCTGATATCCCTGCATTCAATAAATGATAAAACTTTACAACATTTTTATTGATAAAAATCTGCATTGTTATCTGAAGGGAGAATCATATTTTGCATTTAAGTATTTTGTGACAAAGGTTTGAAAATATGCACGCTACAGTAAGTTGACTCTGTCTGCAGTTGACGCAGGGCACCAGGCTGTCATATTTGACAGGTTCCGGGGTGTTCAAGACGCAGTCGTTGGTGAAGGAACCCACTTCCTCATCCCCTGGGTTCAGAAGCCTATTATCTTTGATTGCAGATCCCGTCCACGCAATGTACCTGTCATCACAGGCAGCAAAGGTACCTCTTAAAGCACTTGTGGGCTCTGCCCTTGAGCTTGTTTGCCAAGCAGTGTCTGGTTATGACCTCTTTTTGGCTCCACTACTGGATATCTTTTAAAATAAACTATTCAAATTTTTTGTATGATTTTTTTGAGCCTTTAAAAATACCATTCAATAGGGGTGTCCTGGTTGTAAATATTTTGTCCCTGATACCAACCTGAGTTGATTAAGTATATGCCTAAATCAGGGATAACGAATCCTGGGCCTCAAGGTCTGCTGTCTGGCGTGTTTTAGTTGTTTCTCTGCTCCAATATGCCAGATTCAATGGCTGAGTCACCTTTACAGCAGCTCATGAAGCTCTGCAGAAGCCTGTCAGTCACCCACTGATTAAAATCAGGTGTGTTGAAGCAGTGATACAACTAAAAACATGCTGGATAAACAGACCTCTGGGACAGCATTGGTTATCCCTGGCCTATAAAGCCTAGTTTATACTTCTGTAAGCAAGTTTGCACTTGCGCTCGCTCAGACAGACATTTTCCTTTTGTACTTCTCTGTTGGTGTCAGTGTTGTCAAGCAATTCTTCTCCAGAACAGCAGAGGGCGTAGCGCTTTTCTGGGGTATCCTGCCATCATTGGAGTTGCGGTTTTAGTATGTTGACGTTGTGTTTATGTATTTCAGGAACTTTTTTAAAAGTTGATGTTAGTGCAGGGAAACCGTGTATAAAAACAAGGGTTGGCTTTTTACTAAACACTTCTGATCTGTACTTTTGTGTAACGTTTACTGTGAGAAAGCAACTGAATAATCCAGCATTATTTGTCAGGTTCTCACCCATGTTTGCTAGATGATGGGTGAATTTAGAACATACAAACCCACTAACTCCAGGAAGCTTCTTTTGGAACTCCAGGAAGCTTATTATTCACCTTGAATTGGAGTAGGGCAAGGTGATGAATCAGTATTTAAAAAATATCAATTTCAAACAAGAAACAAGATGATTCTCTATTGTTTTTATCGATATAAATCTAAAATCAGTGTGTTTCTAGAGTTGGCAGGCTCAGCCCTCTGCTAGCTTGCTCCATTTCTAAGCGGCCATTTCATGCATCATCAGGAAACCTCTAGGTCAATATCCTGCCCTAATCATTGCATTTGGCTTTGTGGTTAGGGCTGCTCGATTATGGCAAAAATAATAATCACGATTATGGTGACTGAAATTGAGATCACGATTATTTAGGACAATTTTTCAATTTATGTTGATTTTATTTGTTTTTATTCAGTCATAAAATTGCTCAGGGCACAATCAGGACAAAAATAAGAAACAAGATGATCACTAAAATAACTCCTGATTCCCAGTATAAAAAGACCAATATACTTACAGCTCATAGTTTATGACCCAAGGGCTATGACCTTGGTTTAACTCATTTAAGTCTAACCAGTACAGACCCAAATACCAATATCTTGCATATACTGACAGCAAGAATTATACAGTGGCATTTATAACAAATAAATGCAAATAAATTGATGTTCACAAAATGTTACATAATATGTATTTAGTCGTGTCAAGGTGCTGTAGGAGAGTGCACTAGCACCGTGTCCTCAGAGAGATTAGTTATTATTTATCAGCGTGAGGAACTTATTTCTACCTTATTGATAAACTATATATTTACAAGTCCATCAGTTAATGTAATAATTGTCTCAACCACAGCTGCACCCCCCAACCTGGTCTCACAGCAATCGGGGCAAGCTGCACGTGTGTTTAGCGCGCCGCACGCGCACATTTAGCCGTTTTTAGTGGCTCAGGAGTCTGCAGGTACGGTGTGTGTGTCACTCACTCTGGTTACTCCAACAAGGAGCCGGCTCCGAGAGCTGTTTCTTTAGCGACCGACACATCACTACATCATTCCCTTTCCTAATGTCCTGAAGAAAGGTCCGGAGCGCAGGCGGAGTGTTTAGCTAACCTGCAGGAAATGTCGACGACAGTTATCCAGAAAGTAGCTAAGGGTTACCAGAGATGTTTCTGAGGTGTTTGCTAGGTACTTTTAAGTTAAAAAGTCAAGAAGGGTGTCTGAAAAGCTGCTAGAAATAGCGTCAAAGTCACTAAGTTGGCAACACTGTGGGAGGAGCGCTTCATTTGCAACTCAGGGCAGCGCAAGCAGGAGCAAATAATCGGCTTGTTTTGTTTTTTATAATCGTTCAAAACTCAGATCGTAATCGTGATTAAAATTCGATTAATTGAGCAGCCCTATTTGTGGTTTTCAATAATTTGGGGGTGTTTGTTCGTGTTTTAGCGAGTCTTTTGACCGTGGCTGCTGAGGAGATAAGTATATCATGCTTGTGTGGACAGACGGGTCAAACCCCTCCCCCGTGTAATCAGTAAACGGCTACGGAGAGCTTCTGATTAATCTGCTGATGAATTTATGTACACAATTTCTCAAGACGGCTTGAAGGAAGTTAACTTGTAAATATTTAACAGGAGAAAAAGTATTGAGATAAACAGTCACTGGCCACTTTAATGGGTACACCTGCCCAACTGCTCGTTAACACAAATGACTAATTAGCCAATCACATGGTAGCAACTCGGTGCACGTAGGCATGTTGACATGACGACCTACTGCAGTTCAAACCGAGCTTCAGAACAGGGAAGAAAAATGGTTTAAGGGACTTTGAACGTGGCATGGTTGTTGGTGCCAGACGGGCTGGTCTGAGGATTTCAGAAACTGCTGATCTTCTGGGATTTTCATGCACAACCATCTCTATGGTTTACAGAGAATGGTCAGAAAAAGGGAAAACATCCAGTGAGGACCAGTTCTGTGGGCGAAAATGCCTTGTTGATGTCAGAGGTGAATGGCCTGACTGGTTTGAGCTGATAGAAAGAAAACATTAACTAAAAAAAAACCACTCGTTACAACCAAGGTATGCAGAAGATCATCTCTGAATGCACAACACATTGAACCTTGAGGCAGATGGGCTACAGCAGAAGACCACACCAGGTGCCACTCCTGTCATCCAAGAACAGGAAACTGAGGCTACAATTCACAAAGGCTCACCAAAATTGGACCATAGAAGACTGGAAAAATGTTGCCTGGTCTGATGAGTCTTGATTTGTGCTGCGACATTCGGATGGTAGGGTCAGAATTTGGTGTCAACAACATGAAAGCATGGATGAATCCTGCCTTGTAGCAACTGTTCAAGCTGCTGCTGCTGCTGGTGGTGGTGGTGTGATGATGTAGGGGACCATTACCCCGGCTTTCCACAGGAGCCGTCAGCAGCACGTCATAGCTGCTGATAGGAACCGCTGTGGTCAACAGAACCTTTTCCACTGGAGCCGTCAGCAGCGCGAGTCGGCCGCGTCTCAGGAGCAGCATGTCGCGGCCTTTACGCGCCGGTTCTATTTTCTACGCGCGACGCCTCTGAAACGGGTCAAGTTCGACATTTTTGGGGAAGGAAAGACAGGAAATCGGACGCGGAAATGGAGAGAAGCTACCGAGATTTTCAGAATAAAGAACATACTGCCTTCCAGTTGCTTTACTTTAAAAAAGGTTACTAACTGTGCGGCCCCGTGAGAAGTTACCACCTAGCTAGCGGTCTCCTTTGTTTTTCAGGTCCGTATTGGCGATTATAAAACAGACAGAACATAAAACACAAACCATGTTGTTATTTTCTCCTGCTTGTTGTTGTGTTTACAGACGAAGTCACTCGTGTGACTTCGTGCTCAGTCGGTGACAGCTGCTCCCCTGCTGCTTCGCGTCTCGTGGGAAGGGCCAAGCAGCAGCTTACGCGAGCAAGACGTGCTGCTGCAGTAACGTGCTGCTGACGGCTCCCGTGGAAACCCGGGGTTACACTACCACTTTGGGTCCCTTAGTACTAATTGATCATTGTTGCAACACCATAGCCTACCCGAGTGTTGTTCCTGACCATGTCCATCCCTTTATGACCACAGTGTACCCATCTTCTGATGGATACTTCCAGCAGGATAATGTGCCATGTCATAATCTCAGACTGGTATCTTGAACACGACAATGTCACTGTAATACTCACATGGCCTCCGCAGTCACCAGATCTCAATCCAACAGCTCCTTCGGGATGAGGTGGAACAGGAGACTTGCATCGTGGATGTGCAGCTGACAAATCTGCAGCAGCTGCGTGATGCCATCATGTCAATATGGAGCGAAATCTCTGAGGAATGTTTCCTTGTTGAATCTATGCCACAAAGAATCAAGGTAGTTCTGAAGGCAAAAGGGGGTCCGACCCGGTACTAGCAAAGTGTACCCATTAAAGTGGCCAGTGAGTGTATAACAAATATCAGAATTCAGCTAAAAGATATCGAGACAAACATCTTAGGTGTGTTCTTGCTGTGTCGTTCTAATTCCATGTTGTCGTTCTTTTTTAAAACACAGAAACGGTTTTGTTACCTGTTGACGCTACGTTTCGCCATCGGCGAAACGTAGCGTCAACAGGTAACAAAACCGTTTCTGTGTTTTAAAAAAGAATGACAACATGGTATCGAGACATACGTTTTGGTCAATATCGCCCAGCCATTAATTGGAGTATTTTGTCTTTAACAAGGTGCTTACCACATTATGTTGGTTGGTTGTCTCCTGGAGCATGCCTCCAGCAGCCTAGCAAACACTAGGTGCTATAGTATAGCCTGCTGATGAAAAACATAGAAAGTAAGTCAACAGTAGAGACTAAGCTGAGTGTGAACAGCTACTCTGGTCCTAATCGTTTAATATGCTGCGATTGTTGCCGCATTCCCAGACTAAACGTGCAACATTTCACCTTACAGATCTACAGAACGTCAACATCACGTTGCGTATCCTCTTCCGGCCGGTGACGAGTCAGTTGCCACGCATCTTCACTAGTATCGGTGAGGATTACGATGAGAGGGTGCTGCCGTCCATCACCACAGAGGTCTTGAAGTCTGTAGTTGTAGGTATCTGGTCAACTAAAACCAATGTTTTTAACCCTGACGGACGGACGGGCGGGTTATAAGCTAGCAGATCTTTTAACGGCGCGCTTCTGTTTCTCTCAGGCCAGGTTTGATGCGGGCGAGCTGATCACCCAGAGAGAGCTGGTGTCCAGGCAGGTCAGCGAGGACCTCACAGAGAGAGCTTCCACCTTTGGCCTCATCTTGGATGACGTGTCTCTGGTATGAAGCTGCTTGCAATCTTTCCAACAAGATCTATAATTTTTAGTTTTTTGCACTTTATTATTATAATTCAGATGGAAAAAATGAATGCTGTTCTCTGCAGACACACTTGACCTTTGGCAAAGAATTCACAGAGGCTGTTGAGATGAAACAGGTGGCCCAGCAGGAGGCTGAGAGAGCTCGTTTTGTTGTGGAAAAGGTGAGGTGTTTGAAACGAGTATTTGTCCTGTACTAAATCTCAAAATCTGACAGCTTTTCTCTAACTATTGACAGCGCCATAGTCTCCCCCTCCCCTCACGTCAAGAGTCTGGGTGTCGTCCTCGACAGCTCACTTTCTTTTCAGGCTCACATTAATAACGTAATTCGGTCAGCATACTTCCATCTACATTCCATAAACCGTCTCCGCCCCTCCCTGACCCCTCACACTGCCGCCATTCTCGTCCACAGCCTCGTCAACTCCCGTATCGACTATTGCATTTCACTTCTTTATGGTCTTCCCAACAAACTCCTTCATAAACTGCAACTGGTCCAGAATTCAGCAGCCCGTATTATCACCAGAACCCCTTCCTTTCACCACATCACCCCGGTTCTCCAGCAGCTTCACTGGCTCCCAGTTAAATTCAGGTCCATCTTCAAAATTCTCCTCCATACCTTCAAAGCAATCCACAACCTCTCTCCTCCATATATCTCAGACCTTATAAGTATTCACACCCCATCCCGTTCACTCAGATCTTCTTCTTCCATCCATCTTGCAGTTCCTTCTGCCCGTCTCGCTACCATGGGCAGCAGAGCTTTCAGCCGCTCTGCTCCTCGTCTCTAGAACTCACTTCCCCCAGACATCAGGAACATCGACAGTTTTACCCTTTTCAAAACAAAACTCAAAACACACATGTTTAAATCTGCCTACAACCTCTGATTTTATTGAACTGTTTCTCTCTTTGTTTTTTTCTTGTTTGGGTTTTATTATTGTTTTATTGTATTTTATTAAGTGTTTTCTGTCAAGTGACCTTGGGTGTTCTGAAAGGCGCTTTTAAATAAAATGTATTATTATTATTATTATTATTATTATAAATATGATTGTGTGCTGTCTCTTTGGGTAAAAGTGATATCTTGTTCTTTTAGGCAGAGCAACTGAAGCAGGCGGCCATCATTTCAGCCGAGGGGGACTCTCAGGCTGCCTTGCTCATTGCCAATTCCCTGATGGAGGCTGGTGATGGTTTGGTCGAGCTACGTAAGCTGGAGGCTGCTGAGGACATCGCCTTACAGCTCTCGCGTTCACGCAACGTCACTTATCTTCCTTCTGGACAGGGCACACTGCTCCAGCTGCCCCAGTGATGGCATCCTGCTTGGTGCATATGCCGCCATCACCAGCTCTAACATGGAGGTGGGAGCTGTAGGATTCAGTAGAGGGTTTTGTCATCTTCACACACATTCCTCCCGCTCTTTCTCAAACCACCACTGGACTGGTCACTGCTGATGGCAGCATGGTGGAAGACGGAGTGAGAGGTTTGTGCTAAACGTTTCTGAAGTCCACCTTTGTGTATGGAAATGAAGAGGTCAGTCGCACCAGATTATTAACGTAGTACTTTGAGAACGACCGAGGGAGTAAATTCTCATTCAGCATTGTTTGACCAAGAGAACAGTGTGTGAAGATAACATGTAAAGGTTCCTTTGAAGCGTGTTAAATTCCAAATGTTTCGTTATGCTTTTGCTGTTGTGCTGGAGAGTCGAATCAAAATGTGTAATTGTTGTCAAATCTGAAGTGAGAGGCTCACTTTTCAAGAGGATTTAACAAATATCGCCACCCCAAACCAATCGGAACGTGCCTATCTGATCGTTAAGGATGAGCTTCACGCTTTAGTTTTTCAGACATGGCTTCACTTAATAAAGAAATCTTTCTACCTCCCAGTGATCTGTCTTGTCAGTAATTGCACAGCACTCCACAAAACTTGAATCAAGTTCTGTTTTTCTTTGCTTTCAAGGCAAACATTGTTGTAATATTTTACAGTGTGTGTGTTGGTGTGTAAATCCGCAAACGATTACCTTCGTATTGGAAATGTTGTCTCTGTTACCAGCAGCCTGTCACAGTTTGTTTGCTTTTGGGTTGTATTTATAAAATACCAAACACAACTGCCAGGCTTAGGCTGCGTGTTTGTCCCGTTTCTGATGAGGTGTGACATTTCTCGGTGCTTTTTAGCACGGTGCCGTCACAATAAGGTAGTGGGCAATACACGAGTGAAAGATGAACACTGAAGTACCTTCAGAAAGTCTAAAGAGCTCTCAAAGCAACTATTACAACATGATCTGGGTCATCAGAAGTAGGGCCCGACCGATATGCTTTTGTTGGGACCGATACCGATATAAAACTTTTAACAAAGGCCGATAGCCGATATAAAGGTCGATAAATCTCCCTCACAAGAAAAGAAATAAAACTGTTAAGCTTAAACCCTTCATTCTCTGCCTTTTTGATGCAAACTTATTTCTCTCTTACACACCAAAGAACTGTCTCAATAACTCACTCGGGTTTCCAAGTAATGCAAATAAGATTTGTTGAGCAGATCTCAAACACAACAGAACACACAAACTCAGTCACAGCATAAATCTAACATTCAAGTTTTCTCTTGTAATCTGAGGTTTCCACAAATACGTTTTAACTTAAAGGAATATTCCACCACTCAGTAAAACTGTGTCTTGTTAAGATTCCCCAGAGTTAGACAAGTCAGAAAAAGCATTTTATAACCAGCCCAACATGATCTGGCAGCAGTTGGTTTTCTAGTTTAGCATAAAACACTATAAGTGGATTCACACACATTGTAGTGTTTTTATATGTAGGTGAATGCAAGCCTTCCCTTCCATTGCTGCATGCTAAAACAACTGGTTACAACATGTTGTTTCTGACTTGGCTAACTCTGGGGAATCTAACAACACACACACCTTTGGGGACAGAAGATCCCGATAAGAATATTAAAATAATAAAAATGCAGCAATAAATAAAACGCAATACGTGTGCTTTGTAACAAAGTAACACTCTGGAAGTTAACTTGGTGAACTTATTCACCCTGGACAGGAAATAATTGCACATAAGAAACAAATAAGTTAAAAAACAATAATTTGTGTTCAAAGTTCAAAGGAGTCAAGCCACACAACATGAGTTCATAAAGCTGGCGCCATCTGCTTGATAGGTAGAGCAATATCGGCCGTCTTTTTGGCCGATAGCCGATACTGTTATGGACCCCAATATCAGCCGGCCGATATATCGGTCGGGCCCTAATCAGAAGCAAAGAAAATCTGGGGTGGTTTGAAACTTGCATGCATATCTTGACTGGAATCGCTGAGTAAGAATCAGGAATGCAGAATTACGTAATTTAGCCGTTCCACACAAACTGGTGCAGAAAGATGATGAAACAGGACCCTGGATACAGACCATGAATGTGTGTGTAGCAGCTTGATGAGAAAGTTGTAACGTTTGGTTTTGGTGACCCCCATCGAAAACTTCCGGGACTTATCTGAAGTACATTTAGGTAATTTTGTCTGTCATGTCTTAATTTATTCATCTCTTTTTGATCATTATACATTTTGTGGTTCAGTTTTAACCTCCTTTATTTTCGGACACGTTTAACCCTTTCATCTATGAACTGATAACTTCCCTAAAGTGGACTCTTTCTAAAAGTATCTTTTCAGGCAGTCTTTTACGTGAACTATTCCTCCTCTTGCTCACCGGCTTCTTTTCATACTGATGTTTCTTTCAGTATATTTTTGGGTTTCATTGTTTTGTTTTTTCATTTTTAATCTTACTTTAGTTTATCTTTTATAGTTTATTTTATTTTTAACTCTGTTATACATGTCCTTGTGCTTGTGAAGCACCTTGTGATTTTTATCTTGAAATGTGCTTTATTGGAAAAAACTTTCCCCTGAAAGTCGTATTTATCTGACATAAAAATGACATTTTAAACCTTTAAAACGTTACATCCCGCTCCATTTGAATACCTTACTGTTCCATTAATATCGTTCCCAATGTCAAAGCACTTGACTCTAAAATTGCAGGTTTACCTGAAGTTCCTCAACGTTAAAAAGACCTTTAGTTTCTCAGGCTCTGTCTTCTGGATCCAGATACCAGTTTCTGTGTGAGGCAGTCCCGCTGTCTGTCGAGACTAAAACGTTCCTGTTTGTTAGATCTTGCTAGGGTTAGTTTGGGCTCATCCTTTTAGTTATGCTGCAATATGTTTAGACTACTAGAGGACACAGTGACTGTATTTCTGACTTGATGGGAACTGAATTTGCTTTTGTTAAGTGCTTTGAGATGCCTTTTATTAAACTAAACTGAAGTTAAAACATTATTTTTACTGGAATGTGACAAAACATTTTATTGTTATATTGTTGTCAAACCAAACACTGGCAGCAGGAGGCAATGTAAGACGGTAGTTTTATGTGAAGGCTTATGTGCAATTATAACACTCCCAATCTAAATGAATTAAAACAGCTTTTCAAAGTGAAAAGACGTTTTTATGAAATTACCAACGCCATGACTCTTGGGTCACATGTTCAAAAAAAAAAAACATTAGACTCAAACTCCTAAAATCGCTTTGTCTCGTTTCGAGTAAAAGCAAATTGACTAAATAAATTGCAAATGTCCCAGGATAATGTTCAACGTTCCCCAGTGTCTTAGGGTGTCATCCATCGTGTGTGTGTGTGTGTGTGTGTGTGTGTGTGTGTGTGTGTGTGTGTGTGTGTGTGTGTGTGTGTGTGTGTGTGTGTGTGTGTGTGTGTGTGTGTTGGGTTTGGAGAAGAGCAGACGAAAAGAATCCAGACCCAGACGCTCCGCGGCGCGGCGCGCTTTGCCCACACTGCCAGCGGCCTGGATGCCTGGACTGAGCGCGGGACGGTGGTGGTTAGGCCGGGCTACGGACCAGCTGGACAGAGCCAGTCATTCCTCTCCCAACAGCACATTAACGCATAACCTCCCGCATTTTTTTGCACACAAAGACAGCTGGCGCTTCTTTCCCTAAATGCACATCCGCGGATCATGTTAGAGGGAGGGCGAGCGAGAGAAGTGCAGCCGTGAATCTGTGCAACTCCGATTGCAAGAAGGAGGTCGATCTCGAGCGGAGGTAAGCCAGCAAACAGACAAGAAAATGTCATTATTTGTTGTAGAGTGTGTGCACGTACATGACTGACACGCTTGGGAGCAGCCGGGAGAAGCACCGTCGGACCTTCCGAAGCCGGTGTCCGGAGCATCGGGGGAGAATAGTCTGTGCGACCTCATCCTAACACCGACTTTGAGACGAGTTGAGTGGGTTTCCAGCAGCAGTCTGGGTGTTCTCAGGGCAACAGCGTTCAACAACCGAGACACACTCAAAACAAAACACGAAATCTGATGTTAGTTTAGCTGCGAACGAGCCCGGTAACTGTCACGTATCACACTCAATGTGCAACGTTGAAACAAAATGCAACGTTGAAGCCAAATATTTTGACGTTAATGCTAGCTCGAAGCTAACTAGCAACGATCTGGGCGGTACGTAGGGGGTTAAAAAAGTGAAAGTGCGTGTGTGTTTAAGAGAATGCATGCTAGCAAGTACTGGTTTTTAAATGATATAGTTTGTGCAAAGCTGTGTGACTTTTCTGTAAGTAGAGTAGCAAAATAAACCGAATGGCTGCACGTTGAGCTAATGTAGCCAAGTTAGCCTGTCATGTGTGTTCAGGTTAGGACCTGAAGACTACTGCTAGCTAGGTAAAGTAGCCCAAGTTGGACAGGCCTGTACAGCGTCACTGTTACTTATTGTTACAGGGTTGTTGAAAACTCGTTTGACACTTTCTGTAGCTTCTCACGAAAATGGGACAATTTTAAATACATTAAGCAAATGTGATTTTTAACTACACGTTTTCTAACATTTTACACAAAAAGTGGTATGCTAATTGACTTTTTACATTCATTGTAAATCAATATTTAATGTAGATATAAGAAACTAGGCTCAAAAATGAAAGAAAACATCAGAAAGCCTGAATAGTCACCTTTTACAGTGAGCTATAACATGTAATCTGTAGGTTGAGCAACACAGCTCATTCTCATGTATGAGATGAGCCCCAGAAATGGACCAAATCCCCAGTATTACTCTCACCCTACCTTGGAGTGCTGGCAACACCACCCTGCTGGTTGAGGAAAAGGAGATCTCTTTACAGCAAAATGGTTTAATGGTAAACGTTAACAGGCTTCTATAGAACTTGAAAACATCCAGGACAAGGAAACATCCGAAACATGCAGGATGATTAGTCCTGAGAACCAAGAATTGGGCTTTCTGCTAGACTACCCTAAATACACATGTCTATTTTAGAGTAATGTGAAATAAAGTGTTTTGTAAGATCTAGACATTGTTTAGATGCCAGCTAATTAAACTTATTTTATTTAATCCAAAAACATGGACACACAGCACTGCTGTGAAAGTGGAGTTACAAACTTTGTTTGCATTACAATGCTTTAGATATACTGTTTATACATTTAGCTATTTTGCTCTATTTACACCTGCAGTGTTATATCTATATATGTCATAGTAAAGGTGAGTAATCAGGTGTCATAACAATCCAATATATCTGTGCATCATACACTGCCTGCGTATTTTGCCCTCATTCTGCCATCTACATACTGAGCTTTAAGAAAACATCACAAAAAGACTTTTGGGTTTAACCTTCTTTAGAAGGGATGGAAGGTTGGAAGCCTGGAAGACAAACGAGAATGCTTGCAAAGTAGAATTTGGCCATCTGTTAATATTTATATTGTCTATTAAACAGTTTTTAATTGACCTTTGGATAATTGCACAGTTCTAGAAACAAGGCAGAAACTTGGAGAGGAGCAGAGAATTTGCCCTTTCGCCTTTTATTACTAGACCAGAACAACCCAGTGAATTGCTCTTTGACCTGATTATGGGCTCGACAGCCAAATACCTACCAAGGCATGAGGCACCCCTACGGTGCACTTGCAGAGTGAGCTGGTTATGGTCTCATGAGTTTGGAGAGGAAGGAATGTGAACCTGAACACGGTCCGCCACAAGCTGCAGAAAAGAAAGCTCATTAAACTCTATATGTAACAGGGTGCATGGATTGGCATCTAAAACGGTAAATGTGACACATTTGGGATGCGGAGGTCTCAACTGTCGTGCTGAGTGACACATGTGAAACAAGGGCTGTGCACCATTTAATCATCTTGTTTTTAATGCCTTTGCAGTAACACCCATCCTGTATCATATATATTTAAACCACAGCTGCATCTATCCGGTTTAGGACCGATCTTGTGGCTTACCATCGTACAAAGTAAGTTTTGGTTTCTCAGCATGGCCTTTGATTAATGGCTTCAATGACCCTACATGAAGTGTTAATTCTGCAGAAAGTCTCTATTGGAAATGCCCTAGATAAAGTTTTCTAAACCTATTAACAAGTTTCACTTCCATATCTGACCACTTAATTGTGTAAACTAGTTTCTACTGATATTGAGACGTTTGTACTCGACATGTTTCCCACATCAAAGGGCCGTGTCATTTCACAGTGAGTGAAACCCAGAAATGACTCATCAATGGTATAGCTTAATTTTATACCAAGTTTGCAGAACCTTAATGTTTATTTGCATCATCCAGTTTCAGGCATTCAGTTAATAAAAGTGCTTAATTAGCCTTAAATATGGTTTGAAAGGTGATTTGTGGTATTTAGTTAGAATAAGAATGAAACCAGCAGTTTTCATGTAAAGAAAGGGGTCTCTCATGCCGGTTATATTGTTCTGTCATCCAGGCACAGGATAATCTGTTAGGCTTTGTGTCTAGGACACCCATGTGAGTCGAGTTGCTCTGTCACTCTTCAAACCCCCCCCCCCCCCCCCCCCCTCCTCCTGTGGTCTTAATGCTCTGAGAACTGCTGTTCAATTCTCAGAGGAGATCAGAGCCAGCGTGCACAGGAAGACAGGTGCACCTTCTGTAAGAGTGGAAAGTCAAAGTCGGCATGAACTGTTCGTGTTTGTCTTTGTAGAGTAGAGCAGACCTAGTATTATTTTTTTGTTGCTTTGTTTTGTTTTGCTGGACGAGTAAAATTTTGTTCCACTTATACGGCTGCATGCTTTTTTTTATCAAGATCCAGTAGAAGTGATAACAAGAATGATTTAAAATGTTTTTAAGATCAGACAGTGGCATTTACAAGGATCACCAGGTAACAAAACGTTGAAATGTTCAGAGAATGTTAAAAATAAGATGATCTTAAAAATTAAACCAAACATTTAAAGTTTCAAAAAGAAAACTTGAATATTTTGAGCCAGTAGGTTTTCTGACCTTGACGGAAAGCATTCAGCTCTCTTGCACGAACCTAGGATGTAGCTGTGATTGAGGTAAGTGTTATGGTTTGTGATTAAAATTCAAACTCTAGATGAGGAAATGCGATTCATTTGTTTATGCACGATTCACTGCAGCTTTTCCACCAGCCAGTCATAATAGACATGAGCTGTCTTTTTGGTCTTGTGTTAGAAAGACAAACTCCATGAAAGCAATCTCTTTTATGGTGTTTCTCTTTAAAAATCAAAATATTACATGAGGTGTCTCCATTGTGGTCTAGAGCCGATCTTTGGGCTGTGTCGCTGACATTGAATTCGTCATCATCATCATCCTTTATTTATAAAGCACGTTTAAACAGCGACTACGCCAACCAAAGTGCTGTACCTCTCTCTCTCATTCAATAGAACTGATAAACTCTTTTTCAAAAGTTTCAGATTACTCTATAACTGGTTAAAATCCACAGTTCTACCAATTAATTTCTCTTTTGTCAATTTGCTTAATACACAATTGGAGTCAGGGAATATCACATACCTGGCAATTAATGTATCTCCCAAGTTAGCAGATCTAACCAAACTAAACTACATCCCACTTTTAAAGAAAAGGGAAGATTATCTTGCAAGATGGAAATCCTTACCAATATCACTCATGGGGAGAGTTGCTACAATTAAAATGATGGTCTTACCCAGAATAAATTACTTATTCTCGATGATCCCAAACAAACCTCCAGCTGACTGGTTTAAATCTCTGGACTCCTCAATTACTAAATTCCTTTGGCAGGATAAACCTCCACGAATTAGCTTAAAAACGCTTCAGAAGACCAAAGACAGAGGAGGACTGGATTTACCCAACTTTTATTATTATTTCTTAGCCAACAGGCTGCAATATATACCAAGATGGTTGCAAGATAGCCCACTAGATGAGTCCTGGTTAGATATAGAACAGACACTTTGCAATACGATAGAGCTTTCAGACTTACCATTTATTAGCTCAAGCATAAGAAAACGTGAAAGCTTCAAAAGTATTAGTATCAGCACTTCTCTGACAGCATGGTGGGAGTATCTTAAAATGACAGGTGTGCGTCTGCATGGTACTAGTGAAGACTCTATCTGGAATAATCCTGATATTTTGCAAAATAATAAAATGATGAACCTTCCGGACTGGAAAAATAAAGGAATCCTATACCTGGAACACATATATGAAGGATTGGACTTCATCCCATTTAATCAAATAGTCTCCCAATTTGGAATGGATAAGAATAGCTTTTTAGAATATCACCAAATTAAATCTGTAGTCCAACAAAAATTTTAGCTCAATAAAATAGAATTACAAACATCACCAAGGGTATTAGACTTCTATAATCTCAACCCCCCCAAACTACTGTCTAAAGTATATAAGACACTGTCCAAAATAGACGATAGAATAGTAATCCCTATTGAAAAATGGGAGGTGGATCTATCAGCTTTGACCAGGACTTTTGGTCCCAAACTTGTTTAAAAACTTTTAAAATGATCAGACACTCCAATTTACAATTAATTCAGTACAAAATTCTACACAGAGTACACTATACAGGTCATCGGATGATCAAGATGGGGTTTGTGTCGTCTGACATCTGTACACACTGCACAAACAACATTCCTGACAATTCCATTCATGCACTGTGGTCCTGCCCACCTGTCCAGGAATTTTGGGGTAGAGTGTGTGAAGACCTGTCAAAGTCTCTGAAATGTCATATCCCAACTCCCCCCTCTCTTTGTTTACTGGGAAACCTGGACGATGTCCCGATTGAAACACAGGGGTGGACATTAACTTCAAAACCAACCGGCCAGCCGGGCCGGTAACTCTGAATATTTACCGGCCCCGCCAAGAATCTACCGGCCCCGCTGGTCAGCTGCCAAAACGAGTCAAAATAACAACTGAACCATTTTAAATGTAATAAACCTTTATTTTGTACACATTCACAAACATAATAACGTATTCAAGTTTGAATTTTTTTGTTCCCTCAACAAAACACGATTTTGTCGTCGCATACTTCCAGCATACAACGCAGTACATCACCAACTCCACTTTGCTGTACTCGAGCCTTTGGCTGTGTTCGAGATGAGCCAGTTCTGCGCAGATTAGACCAGCGGTGATCGGCGAGCAGTGCATGCCGGTTAGATTTGTGTCCGAATTGACGCCGACTTGCTCTGACGTCATGCATACGTAGGCAACGATAACCTTGTGAGATCAAGGCGGCCGCAGATTTTGGAGCAAGGCGCTGCAGTTGCTCTCCCTTGGCTGCAAAACCTAGAGGATGATGGGAAACACCTGGCTCTCACCTGATCAAAGATCTGATTGGTTCATATTTTGATCCAAACATCCGGTGGTAGAACATTAAATGTTAGTTGGTCACATGTATTCTGTAAATCATGTTACGTTGATGATGACAACAATATAGGCCATAAAGAGGAATGTGTTTTGTGTTCTTTTGTCACGTTTCCTATGAGCACACTGAAGCTACAGCTGCTAACCTTTACTTATTATTACAGTCATGTCTCCATATACAATATATGACATCCACAAGCACGTGAGGATGGGTTTCAGCTGTTAACAGGCACCAGAGTTAAAATTGAAAATTGAACAAGTATGCTAACGCGATATCTTCATCCATCGTCACCCCCGAGCTACACATGTAGGGACATCCAAGAGATTCAACTGGCAGAAACAACTGGTTCACAGCATAGTCTCTCTCTCTCTCCTCTCTCTCTCCTCTCACTCACTCACTCACTCACTCACACACACACACACACACACACACACACACACACGTAGAGGAAAAGAGCTGAGGAAATTGAGGACACCAGGTAGTTAAAAGAAAAACCACAGCGGAGCCGAGGCGCGCCTCGAATGGGGCGCGTCTGATCTGAACTGAGGAGCGGCGAGCAGCGGCCGGACTTCGTGAGCGATTCGCTTCGGGCGCTTCCGCGGCCGGTGTGTCCCCGGCGTAAACGCCGGCTTTCAGCCACTCCCCCTGCTGCTTCCGTCTGTTTTCCAGGCGAGGCGCTGCTCAACTCGAACACGGCCATTCTCTGTGCCTCCCGTCTTCTTTAAACCGCCAAGAATCGTTCCACCTACGCACACGCTTCTCTGCTTCATACCCAGTAGCGGTTTTAGGCACGGGCAGACAGGGCAGTTGCCCGGGGCGGCATTTTTTCATGACACAAAAGGGGCGCACAAGCGCTGAGTAAAAAAAAAAAAAAAAAAAGGAAATCTGCGCCGCACCGAGGTTTTCTATTATCTGTCATATGACAGTGTCTGGATTGGAAACAGCAAGTTGGCGCCCCCTGCAGCTGCAGGTGCTCCTGCTGACTGAGAACGTTCACGTGCACCGTGTGTGTATGAAGAACAGGAAGGGGAGGGGTGCGGCGGGGGAATTCACCTCTGCGTCTTTCCCAAATGAAATGAGCGCAAAATGAGCGTGCAGGGGCTGAATCAACTGTATTAACATGGCTAAAGTCAATCACATCTTAACGTTCTTCCATATTTCATTCATAATATCATAAACACAGGCCTATCATTCTTTCAGGTTTCTCTGAATTGTGTGAAATGGCCGAATAAAAAAAGGAAAAACAAAACGATTTTGTGGTCACACCCCCATCAAGGTCAAATAGTTTAGTCCTGACTAAAGGAAACTTACTGAGTCAGGAGCCAAACAGAAGAGATGAACATAAAAAGGCTAAAACCACCAGGTGCCCCATTCAGGGGGAAAAAAAAAGAAAAAAGAGGAGAAAGATAAAGGTATGCTCTCATGATGCATGTTGCATGATGCATGTTTAACGGTTAAATGCGGTCAACTAGTTGCTAACAGAGCTAATAGGGCTGAAATATTGAAACGAAATTCAAATGGTTCGAAAAAAGTCCTTGAATCGTTTTTTACTGATTCAAACTAGGATTTGTTAAATGCTCACTGCAGCCCGTGGCCTGCCTGAACAACAACTAACACATGTTGATCATGTTCACATAATAATAAATAAAACAACTCTACAAGCAGAAGAAAACTCCCCAGTCACCACTAACTCTCCTGTTTATTTATTGCAGATGGCTGCACTGATTATTTTTACATGATTTGTTCTGTAAATGTTGGCATTTTTGGTAGTCTACAGTTTTTTATGTCAGTTTAAATTACAATTTCAGAGGCAATTCTAAAATATTATGGATCATGAGATCTATTGGAGATCTACCCCAACTTTTGGACTGCTCTGCCAGTCACTGTGGCTCAAGCTGAGAGGAGCTTTTCAAAACTTGATCAAGTCATACCTGAGGTCACCTATGTTTCAGGGGCGGCTCACTAACCTGGCTCTGATTAGTATCAATCACTCAGTAGGGGAGCAGATTTCATATGATGACATTATTGATGACATTGCATCAAGGTTAGGTTTTAATTTTAGTTTGTTTTCTGTTCTAAGTGCAATGCTGTAGTGATTATCTTTAGTTTGTTATGTGTGAAATATTTTTGCTATTTAGAATATTTATTATCTATTATGTTCATATATTCTTAATATTTAGTTATTGTTTGTTTTTGTATATTTGATTCTATATATTTTGATACAGTATATAATGTATATTGCTTTACATTCTGACAACTTCATAGTAATTAATGTAAATAAGTGCAACTTAGAAAAATGAATGTTCAATAGTCGTTCTAATAAAACATGCCTGTTTGTAGAAAACATGCGTGTGTTCATGCAGGTGGGGTGGTGTGGTGGTGGTGGTGGGGCGGTTGGGGGCGCTCAAAGGGGGCCTCGCCCGGGGAGTAATTCGATGTAGAACCGCCACTGTTCATACCGTTTCGAACTGTCTCGCTTCTCCTCACCAGTTTTAAAGCGTTTTGCCGGAGATTTCATCAAGAAATCCAATCCCAGTGGTGGCGCGATCTTCCTGCGTGCTTGTGTGTTTCTAGCGTGGTTCCACTTCGTCTTTAATAGTGACTTATAGTTCACGTGACTATAAATAATCGTGCAGTACGTGCACGAATCGTACAAGTGCAGTAGGTGGCTAGAGGCGCGCAGGTTCACGCGCGCGAAACGAAAACGGCAGCTTCCTACAGGGCGGGGCCATGATGTAGGCGAAAGCCGGTGTGTAAATGACAAATAAAGCTTGGGCGCCACCCGGGCGGTAACCCCGGCTTTCCACAGCAGCCGTCAGCAGCACGTTACTGCAGCAGCACGTCATAGCTGCTGATAGGAACGGCTGTGGTCAACAGAACCTTTTCCACTGGAGCCGTCAGCAGCCGTCAGCAGCGCGAGTCGGCCGCGTCTCAGGAGCAGCATGTCGCGGCCTTTACGCGCCGGTTCTATTTCCTACGCGGGACGCCTCTGAAACGGGTCAAGTTCGACATTTTTGGGGAAGGAAAGACAGGAAATCGGACGCGGAAATGGAGAGAAGCTCCCGAGATTTTCAGAATAAAGAACGTACTGCCTTCCGGTTGCTTTACTTTAAAAAAGGTTACTAACTGTGCGGCCCCGTGAGAAGTTATCACCTAGCTAGCGGTCTCCTTTGTTTTTCAGGTCCGTATTGGCGATTATAAAACGGACAGAACATAAAACACAAACATTTTGGAGCCATGTTGTAGTTTTCTCCTGCTTGTTGTTGTGTTTACTGACGAAGTCACTCGTGTGACTTCGTGCTCGGTCGGTGACAGCTGCCCCCCTGCTGCTTCGCGTCTCGTGGGAAGGGCCAAGCAGCAGTTTACGCGAGCAAGACGTGCTGCTGCAGTAACGTGCTGCTGACGGCTCCCGTGGAAACCCGGGGTCAGTCGTCAAGTATTTACCGCCCGACGAGAAAATTTAGCGCCAATGGCGCTCGGGCGCTTTAACGGTCCACCCCTGAAACATCTGTGGTTCACGTGGTTCTGACTGCCATATGCATCGCTAAGAAAACTATTCTCTTGAATTGGAAAAATAGAGAAACTCTCTGCATTAACCAGTATAGAAATATTTTTTTAGATCATATTACATTTGATTTAGCCTCTGCTTCCACTTCAGATCAATCTCTCTGGGCTCCTTTGATCGGTTCCATCACGTAGCGATGATGGGGGACCGTTGATGTTGTCCTGCGGGATGGTGGGGGGGTGTCTGAGTTTGGAGTATCCGGATGTTCCCTAGAGGTGGGTTCACTGGGGGTGTCTGGGACTGGGGGGCCGTTGCCCCCCTCTGGAGGTGCTTGGGTCGCCTCGGGGGGTGGACTTTTGAAAGGGGCCCCTTGGAGGTCTTGGCGGTGACCATGGGCAGGTCTGGGTGGGGGTCTGGGGGCTCGGGGTTTGGGGGTGGCCGGCCCCGAGTGGGGATCTGGGCGGGGCCTTAGGGGTCGGGTCCTGTATGTTGCCGGGAAGAAGACAGGAACATGCAGCAGTGCCTGGCCTGGGTTCGGGGGCCTCGGGTAGACCTTGGCTCCTCTGCTGTCCCATTGCAGGGGAGGGGGAGGTCCAGGAGGGGGAGGACCCAACCTTACCTGGATGTCCCATGTCTTATATATTCTGGAAGTTGTGCAATTACAGGGATGGACATAGATATTCTGCTGGGGTGGGGCTGGATTGGTGCCCTCGGACTCCGTGAGGCTCTGTAATGCTGCTGCTTTGGGCCCTGGCAGGATGGGTTGGGGTCTCCATGCCCTGGGTGGCAATTTGACAACAGATGTGCCTATTGGGGCCAGTAGGGGAGCTGGCTCCCTGGAGGGCTAAGCCCAATCAGCCATTCCTCCCCATCCCCGCATATTTCTCTCCTCATGCTCCCTCACATCATCACACAAACATACACATAGGACCTTGGGGGGTGGACAAGTCAGGGAGTGCGGGTATGGACCCCATTTCCGCATTTCTGTGGCAACCTGCCCCCCAATTTTGTTTGCACCTTAGACACTTCCACTGACGACATTTCACGCAAACACACACTTAGGGCCTTGGGAGTGAGCACATTCAACGGCACTTGGCAGGGGGATTTCTCAGCCTCCTCCCGGGTGCCGGTGCCCACTTCCAATTTTAAACCGCAGTTAGACACCGAGGGCTGTGGGTGCAAGTGGGGTGGTGTGGTGGCATCATCTGGCATAGGCCAGACAATGCCCGCACTGCCTGCTCACCACAGCCATGGAATACACCTCATGATCACACAACACTATAATGGAGCAGGCGGAGGGAGACTAGGGGTCTTAGCACACCTCTGTTGTTGCTTGGCTTCCTGGGGCTGGAGGCTAGGAGGGAGATCTGGCTGTCTGGTTGGGGTCTGGGTTGGTGGGTTGCTGTGCTCAGAGTTGGGCGGGGGAGCCTGCTCATCAGCACCCCAGCAGAAAGGGTCAAACTCTGGTAACCGGTGATGGTTGTACCCAATGTGCAGCAGTACCGGGACCAGAGTGAATAGGATGTGCATGTGTGAGCATGAGGGAGGGAGTGTGTGACTGTTTGTGTATGACTGTATATGTCAGGTGGGGCCTTTGACTCCTCCCTTCTCCTGGAACTTCTTTTGATGATATAGATCTCCGTCCCCCCTCCCCCTGCCACACATGGTGTGGGGTGCGGTGCCTTGGTCTGCCTGAGTGTTCGTGGCTCCCGGGTCAGGGGGTTTAAGATTTTTGGCGTCTGCCTGATCGATCCCTTTGGGGTCTGGTTTCCTGGGCTCTGCTGGGTCCCTGGCAGGGGTGGTCGCTCATGGGTCCCTGGTCGCTGGGTCCCGGGCTTGGCCGGCTAGGGGGTGGGAGGCAGCGGGCGGGCCTGAGGGCTTGCCGCTGATATCTCCCGGGACTCTGCCGGCTGCTGGTTGTGGCCCCCCGGGGCGATCCTCTGTGCCTCTCGAGGGGGGCGGGGGCCTTTCTGGTTGCAGTCTCCTTGGGGTTCCTGTGTTCTGGGGCAGCGCCTGGATCTCTGGGACTTGAAGCTCCCACCGTCTCCTACACATCTTTGGGGGGCAGGTCTGTGGTCCCTCACACTCTCTGTTGGACGCTCCTATAGAGAAACCTTACATAAACAAGCGCGTGTACACACACAGGTGCTCACATGGTGCTCTCAAAAGTATGGGCTTGGGCACGTTCAACACAGGTCTTAAGACTATGGTGGGCACTTAATGCACTGTGATTTATTATCGTGTGATTGTTCAGTTAAACAATGTTGATTTTATATTTCATCATCAGGTTGACACAGTGATAGCTTGATCTTGTTGTATTGTTGTTGTCCCATTTTTTTGTTCTTTTGCTTTTTTTTCTTGTCTTTTTCTACAGGTCTAGAAGCAGACTCTTGTTCATTATTGTTTATTTTTGTGGACCCCCCACCCCCTTCCCCCCTCTCTCCCCACCTTTTGTCTTTTCCTTTCTCTTTCACCTCTGACTCCGTGTCTGGTCGGAATTGCAAAGCATTCAACAACAATAACAATAAAGTTTTAAGTATCAGGCGTGACATTAAAAGCAGACGCTTTGATGCTCCACCTGAGAGTAAATCTGTAAGGCTTGTTACCAGCATTCAGACATCAATTCTGTTTGCTTCACAGTCAGACAGGACACGGTAAAAAAAAGGAAAAAAAAGTGCTGTACAAGACGATAGGACACCAAACTAGAAGACAGCAGCATAAAATAGATAAAAACACTTAAACTAAAGTAGTATATCACCAAACTAGAAAACAGCGGTGTCATTAGATAAAATAAGTAAAAAACTATAAGAGTTAAACAATCTCAGCTGGGTAAGCCAGGGAATAAAAATATGTCTTCAGCCGTACTTTAAAAGTTGGAGGGGAGGGGGCGAGTCGGACCGTCAGGGGGAGTTGGTTCCAAAGCTTAGGTGCACAAACTGAAAAAGCCCGTTGGCCACATGCCCTATAGCAAGCTGGAGGGACGAGTAGAAGGTGCTGGTCAGAGGACCTCAAGGTTCGCACCGGAACATAGGGGCTTAAAAGCTGCGCCAAATAAAAGGGTACCATTTAATGCAAAGATTTATACACTAGCAGTAGAATTTTAAACTTAATCCGAAACTGAACAGGAAGCCTGTGCAGATTTGCCAAAACAGGTGAGATGTGTTGCCATCGGTCTGTGTTTGTTAGAAACCTCGCTGCATCATTTTGTACCAATTTGAGGCGTACCATTGAAGAGGAGGGAACCCCATATAACAGAGAGTTGGCATAGTCCAAACGTGACATTACAAAAGCACGAACAACTGAGTGGAGATCTCTCTTGTTATGGACAGATTTTAATTTAGTCAGCCGGCGAAGATGGAAGAAACACGACCTGACTATCTGGTTTATCTGTGTATCCATTTAAAAATTGGCGTCCAGTATGACCCCCAAACCTTTAATTGTCGGCTTTAGAAAAACTGACAAAGAAGGAGGCAGAGATGGCTCCACAGCAGAGGAGAGCAGGGGGCAAAAAAAGTAGCCTCCAGTTTGGAGCTGTTCAGATGGAGGAAATTCAGTAACAAAGTTTTCTGAAAGCTGTGGTTTGGACTCCCACGCAGCACTGAAGCGTTTGTGGCCAATGCGACACTCGCTGTTCAAAACTCAGCAGTATTGCTTCAGTTTCAGGTCACAAACGAGTGGAGGATCTCTGACATCTGTACTCCTGTCTGTTTCTTCTCTTCTAGGTAACCCAGTAAATGGCGTCTCCGGCAAGAAGAGGACTTAACATTGGCTCCTTGTCTGGCTTTCAGCTTATCTTTATTTGCTCAGCAGTCTGAAGAACGTGGCCCTCTTCAGTGCAGAACCTACTTTAGATTCTGAGAGTTCATAATCCGACATGGAACAAAGTGTGAAAGAACATCAATGTCTTACCGACTTCATGTCCTGCTTTGGACAGCATGGATGGTCTGTTTGAATCGGGTTGAGTGTCTTTCACCACGTCCCCTCCTTCCTGTCTCTTCAGTGGAAGGAGGGTGGGGGATTGGTGTGCTGTCCCCTGCCCCTCCTCGTAAGCTAGGCTAGTCAGCACAGTAGCGGTTATTATTTTGTGTTCAATCGTGTTTTCCACCGACTCCATTCCTTCATGAAATCCTGCCAGAACCTCAAGGAGGAGGTTTCCGTCCCGAGTTTTAGTGGGATGTCACAGGAGGAGGGACGTAGGGCTCCTGTGTCCCAGTCCTATTTTCACTCTCCTAACCCCGATCTGGACCTAATGGGAAAGGTTTATAAGAGGGAGGTTGGTGGCAAGCCTTATTCTGTGTTAGTGGACAACAAAATGTCAGCCAAGGCCTCCATGGGCGATCAGAACATGACTCCGGCGCCTCCTCAGCATGTCAGTTCACCGCAGCAGCAGTTCTTCAGAGAGGGAGGACCTGGACAGGAGGTGGGAACGCAGAGGTCCCAAGCAGCCCATGAGGGATCTTCAGATGACACTGAGGAAGAGGAAGATGAGGAGGAAGAGGGTGAGGACTGTGAGGAGGGCTACAAGCGAGAGCAGATCATCGTGGAGGTCAATCTGAACAATCAGACGCTTCATGTGTCCAAGGGAGACAAAACTGGAACTATTGCAGATGACATGGAGAGAGGTGGAAGTGATGACGAGGAGGAGGAGGATGAAGATGATGAAGAGGACAGCCACTATGAGGAAGAGGAGGAAGATGATGATGAACAAGAGATTGAGTGTCAAAGAACCAGATCTAGAAGAAGCAGACAAGGTGCTAATAGTGATTCGGCATCCAGCCGGCCACAGAGGAAAAGCCACCGAACGGCTCTGAGTGCTTCAGCTGCTGGGATGACCACCAGGGGGCGCCGGAAGCGCATGGAGCCTCCAAAGAGCAAGCGCAGGTCAGCCAGGTCAACTTCCTCCTCAGCCCGTTCTACAGCTACAGGAGGGAAGGCCGAGGTGGAGGAGAAGGAGATGCTGACATGTGAGAAGTGTCCGAGAGTGTTCAACACTCGCTGGTACCTGGAGAAGCACATGAACGTCACACACAGGCGGATGCAGATTTGTGACAAGTGTGGAAAGAAGTTTGTCCTGGAGAGCGAGTTGGCCCTGCATCAGCAGACTGACTGTGAGAAGAACATCCAGGTAATGCAGACCTCTCACATCTGTTACTCCTGACGAGGTTATTGTAAATAAAATTATGCAACAAAAGAAAACAAGCTGAATACAAATACAACACCTAATCAGAGGGACTTATTTACAGCCGCAACAGGATTTTCTACCCACAAGTTCATAAACAATTAGGTTAAAGAGAACAGAAAAATTCAGAGTAGAAACTGAAGGTAAAATCATCTGGCAACAAATGATTTGCAAACACACAGTTTAGGTGGGCCATACGAAACGGCCAGGAGGTAACTACAGAGAAAATGGGGCCAATTTGACCATTTCATGTGAAATCAGGTGGGAGAACATTTACAACCATATTTTTTTCTACCTATTGTAAATTTGATCCCTAACACAAGGGTAAAGAAGGATACCGATGGATTTATGAACTAACATTGACATACAGAATTCTCTTTCACACATTGAGGATTTTCTTTTGTTTCAGTTTGTTAACCCAAAGAAGTTGTTGCAAATTAAAATTTTGATTGTAGTTTTTAAATGGCTAATTGTTAAATGTTATTAAAGTTATCAGCATCTGCACACGTATTAGACCTCAAATCCCCAAATGCACTGTATGCAGTTTATTTTAAAGAGCAAGTTCACTGAGAAATCGTTTTTTTATTTTTTATTTTTTTTTTTATAAATACTATCAGTCAGTGAAAATAGTCTTCTACCCCATTACCTGCTGGTGATAGAAAATAGACGGAGAACGTTCTGATTAGAAAAGCTTGACAGATCTGTCACACTGAAAATTAGCATCCATGGACTCCCCTATCGTGACCCATGATGAGGAATGCTGTTGTTCATTTAACGTCCACGATACAGTGGCGTTAGCAGGAGCTTACTGTTAGCATTAGCAACTCCACAGTATGGCAGATTTCTTTCAGGCTTGTGTTGTTGTTGGAGATGTAACGTCAATGTTACAGCGCAAATGCAAACCAAGTATCAACCGGTTCTGTTCTGATTAGTTTTAGGGTCTGAAATAAGACCAGGTCCTTGCAGATGTCTCAAATCAAATGGCAGTGGACCAAAGTGCCTGGAGACATTGAGATAAGACTAAGGGTATTTCTCAATGTCAAAGCACCTGTCCTCACAAGACACCGCCTTGCGAGGACAGGCGCCTTGCTTATGAGGACACTGTCCTTGCTAGGTCAAAGAAAACGGTCAAATGGAACAGACTTGCATCACGTGACCACAGCTTCTGTTGCGGTCACATCACATGGCACATGAGGTAACATATTTTACACGTAAAAGTTATAAAATACATTTATAACGAGCCTTTTACTTTTTGAACGTGTAGATATTGGTTAAATTAAATATGTAAGCGAGTCACCGGTTCTGTTCATAACCTTTATGGATCGAATTTCTAGACGCAGCCGTGGTGTGGAGTGTGTCGAGTTTGGTGGCAGGAGAATCTCGTCTCTGCTTTTTGCGGATGATGTGCTCCTCCTGGCTTCATCCAGCTCTGACCTTCAGCTCTTGCTGGGTAGGTTTGCGGCCGAGTGTGTGAAGCGGCTGGGATGAGGATCAGCACCTCCAAATCTGAGACCATGGTTCTCGACCGGAAAAGGGTGGCTTGCCAACTCCGGGTCGGAGAGAGGTCCTACTTCAAGTGGAGGAGATTAAGTATCTCGGGGTCTTGTTCATGAGTGAGGGTAGGAGAGATCGGTAGATCGACAGGCGGACTGGTTCGGCGTCTGCAGTGATGCGGACGCTGAGCCGATCTGTCGTGGTGAAGAGGGAGCTGAGCCAGAAAGCCAGGCTCTCGATTTACCGGTCGATCTACGTCCCAATCCTCACCTATGGTCATGAGCTTTGGGTAATGACCGAAAGAACGAGATCGCGGAAACAAGCGGCCGAAATGAGTTTCCTCCGTAGGGTGGCCGGGCTCAGCCTTAGAGATAGGGTGAGGAGCTCGGACATTCGGGAGGGACTCGGAGTAGAACCGCTGCTCCTCCGGATCGAAAGGAGTCAGTTGAGGTAGTTTGGGCATCTGGTCAGGATGCCTCCTGGACACCTCCCTGGGGAGGTGTTTCGGGCATGTCCTGCCGGCAGGAGGCCCCCGGGTCGACCCAGGACACGTTGGAGAGGTTACATCTCCAATCTGGTCCGGGAACGCCTTGGGGTCCTGCCGGAGGAGCTGGTGGAGGTCGCCGGGGTGAGGACGGTCTGGAGCTCCCTAGTTGGGATGCTTTCCCCGCGACCCGGACCCGGATAAGCGGAGGAAGACGACGACGACGATGTAATAGAGTTTCTACCTGCTAGCCACTGAAGCTGCAACTACTAAGCAACCAGCCAACCGTAGATAACTGCTTGGATATCAGCCCGATAGCTACAATGAATTGACTTCTATTTAAACTGTAAATTTGTCCCTGAAGTAGCTGCCAGATGCTGATCTGCCATCCTTTTGAAAATACTGCGCTGTAATCTGGGAAATTTTTGACCAAGGCTAGGCTACAAGGCAACACCTGTGTATCCTTGCTCAGCTAGCTAAACGGCTAACAAACGGAGAACACTCCTCGGTAGAACATGAACATTGGAGCATGTCTTGGTGGTTCCTGATTGCATATCTCCTAGGCAACCGGGGCAGGACCAAGACATCAAGGCGAGGTTCTTTGACATTGAGAAACACCCTAAAGCTGATTTTGTCCATCTTGTTAAAAGTCTTTCTAATATTGTCTCCTTTTGTATCTCCTCCAGTGTAAGTAACGGCTGGTGTTCCAAAACAGGCTTTTAATTTTAAGTTGTCTCAGCATTTTTCAAGCTCTACAGAAAAGTTTTAAAAATCTGACATCAACAGATTTTGAATAGACTAAAATTTACCTTGGAAAATTTTCAAAGTAGATTTATAATAGTGCTGGAAATTCTAGTTAACCTGCAAACTTTCATTTGCAGGTTAACCATTAAAACTTTTATCTTATTGAGCAAATAATAACTTAAGGGTTTTATGTTATAGATACATTTACACAATACATTTTATTCTATTTTTCCATAGTGTGATATTTCCTCTATATATGAGGATTTTTCAGCAAATATACTCTATTCTTTTTTAGCCCAGCAGGTGGAGCTGGTGTGTAATAAAATGGGTGCAGATGTGTGTAACTCGTCCTTCAGGGCTACCGATCTGAATGTTTCAGTTGTTTCACCCGATTCAGTGGCTGAATTACCTGTTCAGCAGCTCATCAAACTGCAGAGAAACCTCTAAAATATGCAGGATGGTAGCCCTGGAGAACCAGAGTTGAATACCACTGATGTAAAGAGACAATTGTTTAAATACTTCTTGTATTTTTTCCTGTTCTCCAGTGCGTCTCCTGCAACAAGTCCTTCAAGAAGCTTTGGTCACTGCACGAGCACATAAAGATTGTTCACGGCTACGCCGAGAAGAAGTTCTCCTGTGAAATTTGTGAAAAGAAGTTCTACACGATGGCTCATGTTCGGAAACACATGGTTGGTAAGTTGTGTTCAGAGATCTCCTCTTAGTAGGTCTTGTTACTTAAAAACTAAAATAATTAAATTAAAGGGGCCATATCATGGAAAATCCACTTTTTGGATCTTTTTACCATGTGATAATGTTATTTCCTCATGAAAAAACCCCTCCAAAGCCATTTCTGGCTGCATTCATGCATTTTCCTGTTTCATCTGCAAATTTGGAACTTTACTTTGAAAATCTTGTAACGCGTCAATGGAAACTAGTCTCGTCATCAGGCCCTGCTTCTCTCTGGGAATCTAGTCTCTGGTCTGAAACCTGTCTCCTCTGACCAGCTCAAGATGTATGGCTTAGGCGACTGCTGTCATGTGACTTGGTTAGAGTACTAGACTTAGATACCTTAACCACTGGACTACCGTAGCCAATACAGTAGCTGATTTGCCTAAGATGAGGTTGCAGGAACGATTTGTTGAAGCTCGAGTGTGTGGAGTTTCACTGAAACAAAGAATTTTCTTTCCAGATATAAATTCAGGCTGACAAAAATAACTTGTATTAAGGATAAATGTCATCTCAATAGTGCCAATGGTAATATTTTATCATATCCTGTGCCTTCCTTTGTTCTCAAAGGTTTCAAATGGCATTATATGAAGCCTTTAATAGAGGTTTGTGTTGTATTGCCAGAGCCGACCACAGTAGCAACAGTTAGCTTAAAGCTTTAAATGATATCATGCTGTTTATTTGTGTTATTTTTGTGTTTCTTTGGTCAAACTAATCAGCTGAAACTTGTTTGTTTCATCCAGCTCACACTAAAGACATGCCCTTCACCTGCGAGACTTGTGGGAAGTCATTCAAACGCAGCATGTCTTTAAAGGTTCACTCACTCCAGCACTCTGGGGAGAAGCCCTTCCGCTGTGAGGTAAGGTGCTCCTGTTGCTGTGATGTAATATCCTTTGTTGCACTGAGATGTCATTAAGGAGGTCTGAAGACAGACCAGACACCGTTTCATCCTAAACACACAATCTAAACTTCATCCTTGAGATAATGAATAACTAATGATCTAGAATTCGTTTGATGTCAGATTTTTTAACCAAAGATTATCCTGTGATTAAAATGATAGTTTTGGTCTATTTGGATGAAGACGTCTCTAAATAAAGCAAAATTCTCCAGTGCAGAGTGGAGACAACCCATAGAAGCACTGATTTGATCTCATTTCAGAGAAAAATAGCACAGGTTAGATGCACCTAATAAATAAAATTACTAACAAACTCAGCAATGTTTCTTTGCTTCACTGTTCTGGTGCTGAAAATATCACTAATGCGGATCGAAGGAGATACACAGATGAATGCACCTCTTATTTATTATTTGGAGGCTACATTTACTGCAGCTGGCAGAGGCAGAGATTTTTTCTATTGATACACGGAATTTACAGAATCATTTTAAATGTTAATAGGGTAAGACTGCAGGAGGGAACATTAAAATACAGGGGGTCTCCAACAAAAACAAGAAACTACGAGTCTGATGAAACCCGCTGGTTTTCCATCAGGCAGTCACGGGGCAGCTCCAACGACCCAGTGGCTATGCTGGGTCTATGTTATCTAGCTCAGTCCGGCTCAGCCGTGAACGAGCCGAGGCAACGTCGTGCTCTGCTTAAGAAGAGGTGTTATTGAAACATGTAAACCACAAAGCATTTTACCCACTGCTACCTTTCTAATTTTAAACTCGGTAACTTATGCTGTAACTGCACCTTGCTCTGCCTTCTCCTCCTTGCTGCCGCCAGCTGTGATCACAAGCGACAACATAGTAGTTCCTGCTGCTTCTTCGGGAAACAGCGCAAAAAAAACAACTTGGGATCTTGTAGACGTGGCGGTGGGATTTCAGCCGTGGCGGCCCGCCACGGCTACGCCTATGTAAGGGAAACCCTGACTAATTTGTTTTTATAATAAAAATGTCCAAATATAAATTTAACGATGAGTGATTTTTATGTTGGCTGTATGTGGATGAAGTGTTGCATTTGGTGCATCAAAAGTGCCATTTTTACATTTGAGTCATTAGTTTTTAGCAGAGGTGTGACCAAGTCACTGCTTTGTACCAAGTGCAAGTAAGTCACAAATCTTTCCAGTCAAGTCTAAGTCAAAGGCAATCAAGTCCAAGTAGAGTCCGAAGTCAATGATGTGGAAGTCCAATTCAAGTCTAATTCCTTAACTTTGAATTTTCAAGTCATAATCAAGTCATCTGTCCAACTTCAATTTAATGACAATGATAATACAGGGTATCTGTGGATCCTTAAAAAGTCTTAGATTTGCTTTTCCAAATTTAAGGCCTTAAAAATCCATAAAAATGACATAATCCTTAAATACAGTTTCCAAATTACCAAAGACCCAGTAAACAAGATTCTTTTATTTCTATAAAAATTTTGTGAATTTCTATTTATTGTTCAGCATTTTTTTGTGTACGATGTTGACATAAGTGGAACCGTACACATTCAGTTGGTTGTGAAAGGGGGCTATTTTTAGATGAGCACATTAGCTGGTTAAGCTAGTGGGAGCTTGCACCATGGGGAAGTGCAAGTTAAATGGTAACTGGATGGCTAATCCCACGTTCGCCACGTGGTTAGCACCGGTTCCAGGCAATAGCTGGAAATTATAGCTTAAATTTTATTTTTAAAAATAGCTTAAATTTGGTCAAAGTGGCCTTAAAAAAGTTCTTAAAAAGTCTTAAATTTGGCTCCCATAAACCTGCAGATACCCTGTAATAAATAAATTCCAGAAATAAAGCTTCTTAAAGCTGAATTTATTTGCTCAAACAAGCAGAAACTGAAAATGATTATTATCGAAGTGCTGCTGCTTTTAGCAGTACAACATCAAACCCAGAACGAAGAATGATTTATGATTTCTGTCCATGTCGGGCCACTTTTGTGCTAAAATATCAAATATGCTCAAGTCATCATCAAGTCAACAAGTGCAAGTCGATTCAAGTCGCAAGTCATTGGTGTTCATGTCAGAGTAAAGTTGTAAGTTTTTATAGATTTTATCAAGTCAATTCAGAAGTCATTAAAATATTGACTCAAGTCTGACTCGAGTCCAAGTCATGTGACTCGAGTCCACCCCTCTGGTATTTAGGTTTTTGACATAGTGACCGAGGGCTCACATACACTGTCATACAGCTATAGAGCGGTGGCAACACTTGAGGTGGTAGATAGAATTGATCTTTATTATCGCTTTCAAAGCACTGAGGTTAGGGATGTCCGATATAATTGGTCTACCGATATTTTGGCTGATATTGGCCTTAAAATGTAATATCGGAAAATATCAGTATCGGTTTTTACTCTGATCTGAGGTTTAGTTTTTTAAATATTTTAGTTTTATATTAGCCTGGCCTGCCAGACTCGTCCTCTGTTTAATTCTGCACAGAGAAAGAGTCTGGTAACTCTCGGCAAAGAGCAACATGAGAGGCGGGACTAGCCAGCTGAAGAATAACCAATCAGAAAAAAGACGGAAATCCCGACTGTACCGCACCACACTGTAGTTTTCTGGTTGTAGTAAAAAAGGGTATCCGGCAACGGCGAAAATATCTTTCATTATTTTTTGGAAGAAATCCTTTTAGTGCTTCTACTTGTTGTTTTAAAGACATTCGAGTCATTTAGACCAGAGGAAAGAGCCGCAGCGAACTCTGCCGCTGTCTCTGTTGTTTATGAGAAGCTGAGCGTTGCTGTGTGTGACGTCAGCGACGCTGTAGTTTTTTAGCTGTAGTAAAAATGGAGTCTGACGACAGCGCAAACATCTTTCTTTAGAAGAAATCCTTTTAGCGCTTCTACTTGTTTTGTCCAAGTCATTTAGACCAGAGGAAAGAGCCGCAGCGAACTCCGCTTCTGTCGTCATGTTCAACTCGGCGTTGTGGTGTGTGACGTACGCTACTCAGCGCCGGTTGGCTCGGTTAGAATTCTCACGGGGTGGGGTTATTTGACTAGGAGAAGTCTCAGAGCCTTTCTCTGTGCAGTATTAAACAGAGGACGAGTCTGGCAGGCCAGGCTAGTTTTATATGGCACTACTTGTGAATAATTGGGAATTTGTCCTGTGTTGCTGTTTACAATATGCTGTCCTTAGAGCACGTAGCTGTGTGTAGCTAGCAAGCAAACAAACATGCACATGCTGCTTACATTTAATCAGATAAGTAACTAACACACACCCAAACATCCCTAAACAAATCGATACTCAGAAAGACAAATGTTCAAATGTTTAACTCGGGTGCTTTCCATCTCTCCTGATCATTCTTGAGACGGTCCCGCACCTTCATTGGAGTCCAGCTGTGTTTCATTATACTGATTGGACTTCATTAAAAAAGCCATACACCTGTCTATACCAGACCTTGCAGCGGCGCTTTTCAATTCCGAGCCTCGAGGACCGGCATCCAGCATGTTTTAGTTTTAACCCTGCTTAAACACACCTGATTTCAATCAACAGGTGATTAACGGGCTTCTGCAGAGCCTGATAAGCTGCTGCACAGGTGATTCTAGTAAGTTGGACTAGAGAAACCACGGAAACGTGCTGGATACCAGACCCTCGAGGCCCGGAATTGAATAGCCCTGCCTTACAGCTCACAATGCACGTCAGAGCAAATGAGAATCATGAGATCAAAGGAACTACCTGAAGAGCTCAGAGACAGAGTTGTGGTAAGGTACAGATCTGACCATGGCTACAAAAAATGTCTGCTGCACTTAAAGTTCCTAAGAGCACAGTCGCCTCCATAATCCTTAAATCGAAGATGTTTGGGATGTTGGGGTTATTAGGAGCGAACAATTTGTAAGCTTTAACTTACTTTTGGATTCTTCAATAAATTCTGTAAATATGGGAATATTTACTGATTTATTAATTAATTAAGATATTCTTAGATATACGGGGCACCATTCCCCTTCAACCGTGGAAAAATTGAATCCAAAACTCTTATCAGTCTTTCTTGAAGTTCGTAGAATCCTCGGAGCAGAGACTTCTCTTCGACACAACAAAGCTACTGGAGACGAAAATCTGAATTTTATAACGTTTAATTAACAATTTGTCAAATGAATAAACAGTGGCATAAATGAATAATAACCATGTGATATAATAAAAGGATGTATATTCAAAATAATGTTCAAGGTGTTTTGTGTGTATGTATGTGTGTGTGTGTTTCTAAAATGGAGTCTGTATGCAAGATGGCTGACCCCTTTGTCTGGCTAAAGTGTGGGTGGCAACTTGCACTTTAACTTCCAAGGCACTTAGAATCATAAGTAACTTAACCTTAAATCACTCAAAACATTTCAAAGGATCATGAAACAACACAAAAGATTAATCACAAGTTAATATCTTTTAGTTTAACCACGTGGTCAAGCAGAAAACATTTAAAGATACCAAACAATGATCAATAAGCAGTTTATTCTTTCAAAATGACCCGACGGACGTGTTTGGGAACGAAAGAGGAAAACACGAAGCTACTTTTAAGCAATAGACGCGGTTTTATTGCTTATTCTGGACTATAGAGGAAACGGAAGAAGGAAAGAGAGAGAAGGAGATGAGTTTCTGATCACCAGATCAGTGAAGCGTCCCTCACTGTTTTGATTTGACGGTTCTCCGTGTTTCTCCGCAGTTTGGCGTCGTCCGTCGGCTTGATGGCTTTCTCCGCTGTTTTCGCGTTCTCCGTGAGTTTGACGGAGTTGCTGATTTTTCCAGCCCGGTTCTGTGTTCTTCCCTTCAGCAGCTAGAGCAGCGAGCGGTTGAACAGACCTGATGGCTTGTAGTTTAGTTTTCCCAGCGGTCCCGTGGGCTCAACTTGGGCACTTAGAGCTTCCGCGTGCTCAAGGGAGTCGGAGCGTTCGACAAGCGTGTCCTTACCGCCAGGTATCCTGGGCAAAAGAACGAAGTTTCTTTGTTTCGTTGATGATTT